CTTCAAACCCCTGTCCTCCCCTGGTTAAGAAGATTACGCTGATCGGCTATTACAACGTCATCAACTCAAAGTTCTACTTGATATGGTTTAGATTTTCATTGTTTTAACATGTTAAACGAGGAAACTTTTATATTAACATTTACGTTAAAACCGTTCATTCGCCTGCAGTACCACAAGGTGATGCAGTGTTAACTACGGTGTAATAACTATTCTGATAATGTCGTTCTTGAAAGGAACTGTAATCACTGACATCTCTGTATAAAAGTGTATTTACATAGTGCATTACAAGGGATTTCAAGGCAAAAATCAATCGTGGCAAGAGATAATCATGCCAGATCAGTTAATCTGAACAAAGATGCCGCAATCAAATTATAAAGCAGGAAGCCGGCTTTTTTTCCTTTTCAGAATTTTAATTATTATCTTGTTTCAAACTAACACACCCTTTGCTTTTAGACAGAAACGCACACTGAAGCGCGACGATTCGACAGTGTCCGGCCGGTTTGCAGCTCAACAGTCCATTTAAAGATTGTTCAGATGTCTAACAGAAAACGGACCGAATTGTTTGGATGGTAAATAGAGCTGCTTAAGTATAATACTTTATGAAAACATCCCTTACGTAGAAGTCTAGGAAGATGAAAGAATTGAACAATGGATGTTTGTTGATTTTTTCAACTCGCTTTACTGCACTACATTAAGTAGAAACTAAAGCCGAAAAAGAAGTCCTGCTCTCGCAGGCTAAACGGAAAGACCACATTTCACTTTATGTGGATATCTTTTAGTAAAACGGTTGGCGGTGTCCAGATTAGCCTGCGATAGCATCCGTTTTTTTCGGCTCTAGTTTCTAGCTGCGGGTGAAACTATAGAAACTTAAGAGCCGAAAAAACAGGATGCTCTGGCAGGCCACGTCCAGATTGTCTCTCAAATGATCTAGGTATGATGGAAGTTCTTGGACCAAAAGGAATAGTACTATAAACATGGCCTAAAACTCGAGATACGCCGGCCGGCATGTAGAACTGAGTGGGTCGTGTACGTTCTTGTCTGTTGATACAGGAAGAGTACTTCAGCCTACCTTTCTTAAAAGTCAACTTTAACTTCACTTCCCGGATTCTGGTTAGTTATCTTCTAATTTTATCTTCGGTAATGTTTCCGACCATGAACCACAACCACGAGTCACTAAACTTGGGGATGAAAAAATGTTGACAAGCTAGTGCCAACTGCTCGGATCCGGTTTCAACATTGTACCTTCACAAGTTCACAACTCTGTATTTAACAGCTGACAAAATCAATAAAATCTATTGTAAAGACCCCATAATTACTTTGTTTGTCATTCTTCTGCTGGTCGGTGTATTTATTTTCAAGTAAAGCTTAAAAGCTAGTTTGACGTTAATGGACATAAAGTAATTTTAAGGTTTTAATAGCGTTCCCTATTTGCAAGCCATTATTTCCGAATGTAACGTAAAATCTATATGAGACGTATTGATATGCAAATTTAAGAAACAATTCAAGTCAAAGTCACCAAACAACTAGCATGCTGATTAACTATCAGTAAGTGTCAGCTTAATTCACTGGCACTTAGCAAACTTCTTGTTTAGTCAAGCTTATTCTTTTCATCTTGTTTTCTGTTAAGTTTCCATTGATGAATCGGAGTTAAGGGCACAAAGTAGATCTCCAAAACAGAAAAAAATCGAGGCAAGTGAGCAACCGAAGTGAAGTCATTGGGAATAAATCGGAGTAAAGAAAAATGAAAAGTGGAATGAACACATTTGTAAGGACAGTTTTTACCAAGCCAATTACAGAACCTGGAAAATAAGTAACTAATCATCCTTAAAAACTGACAAATTAAGACCATAATAAAAATGTATACAATTTAGGAGCACTTTGAGAGAGAAAGTTCTACGCATGTAAACTGTGTATGTTGTTACAGCACAGTGAAGCGTTAATGCACTTATAAACAGTTTGCATCGAAACATCCTGTAATTTACAATCTCTTCACTGAGTTAGGTCTTAAAGATACCATGTATTTACCTCCTGAGCGACCTGTTTCATGCGATTTTGAAAACTCTCCTTAAATTGAAATTTCATTTAATGGAAAGGATCATACTCACCACACCAGCCCAATATTACAAACACTGCAAAGTACTGTTTTTATACATTTTTACTACTTTGAATCTTTCTCCCCGGAGATAATAAAAAAAACCTGGTAAGGCTTTATATTTAACTTTCCTGGTTAAATTTTTATTTTCCCGCCTTGGCGTAGGGAAGTATATGCAAAACAAGAAAACCACTATATTTCTGTCAGAAAATAATATCTGCTTATTCAACAGTAATACACTTCAGACCCAACCAATCGCAAGACAGTAATCGCTTTTCTCTCAGGCACGCGTTTCTCGGCGAAAGACTCGAAGGTTTTAGTGGTCTGTAATTTCGGTTCAGCATGCACGTTCAATATTATCAATATTTTTGAGTGCTCATCTGCCCTCGCAACATCTTCCGTGCCACTGTTTTTTTTATCAAGCTTACTGTTTTTAATTATTCCTCGAGACTTTTTTTGTCAAGTTAAAACTCTATGAGAAATTTGTTAAATTGAACTTGAACTTCAAATACCCGGAAGGTGTTGAAGTAATACATTTAACCTCTCTCCACACCACAGTATGAAGAATCAGTTAATTCCGAAGGCATTAGACGATAATTCAGTTTGAACGAGGGGATATCGGCGACCTTTTGAAAATCAACATCGCCCTACCAAACAATTTTGTTTACAGTGGGTGCAACCAGAACAAAAACCACAAAAAGAACGATGAACGGAAACTTAAAAACGTACGTACTTCTTGTCGCCATTAATAAGTGAGCTCCGCAGCTGCTAAGTAGAAAATGGGTCTTGGACAATAAATTTAGCAGGAGATAAACCTTGAACAATAACGCAGAGTTAAGTAATTTTCGGTGACACAAAAGTGGGCGTTGTTTAACCCGGATTCAGTGTCTGTCTCAGTAAAAGATGATATGATGATGTAGGTTTTATGCTGCTCTATGATCAACAAACATAGGGTAGCCGGGAAAAAGAGTAAAATAAAAATGGTATTTAAAAAGCTAAATTTAAAAAAAATACTTCTACGTATTTTGTCTCAGTACCCCCATGTTGAAAGGATCAAGCTCAAAGGGTCTTGTTTACGGTAGCCAATTTACCTTCGCTCTACTCAAATGATATCAAGTCGAAGTAACATACCCTACTACCGTGCAAAAGTGTTTCAGGATTGTCAAACTATCTATATTACCTGGTAAATTCCTATTTCTTTTATTTTTTCGTTGTTACTTTCTTTCTATGACATCGTTTACACTTATTTACTAACTTACGCTGGGAATCATCCTGAGCCTTCCTAACAAAATCTTTCCACACGAGCTGATCGAGCATTGCATTTCTTATCTCTTTGGTATTGCTGTCGAGTGAGTCCGATGTTAGCTTTGATGGGGTTAATGTATGTAGTTCTTAGTTTACTTACGATTTGGGTGACCATGTTGGGGTTCCCAAAGCAGCACATTTGAAGCAGTAAAATACTGATAATAATAACAATATTGGAAACGAATAGGTAGATGCAATTGTAGAACAAACCGACTATTACAATTAGGTGTATCGTAAATGATCTTTTTGACACTCTGTCCCAAATAAACGCCTCTTGTCTCATAAATGCCCCCTCTAAGGTATTAATTTTGCTTTAGACGTCTCTCTCTAATAAAGGCCTCCAGTCTAATAGACGCCCCCTCACGACAGTTACATGAAAATACCAGGAATTAAAAGGAGTTTGCGGATCGCTTTTTGTTCACTATCAAGTTCAAAGTAGGGATAGATTAACGATGACAACACAATGACCTTGAACGAGGATCATCTTGACATATCGGGATCACTATCGGCCTCTCATCATATTTTCCCCGAAAGCATATCAGTCTTGTAGATAGCCAGGATAGCCTGCGTAGCAGGCGCTTGGAAGTAGTGGGCGCGAGAAAGACCGCAAAAATGAAAACAAACACCTTTCTCTTTTAATTGCCTCCTATATCTATTAAACGGCCCCCCTGGACGCCTTAAATTAAAAACGCCCCGGTCCTCTATCAGATCATATGTCAACCAAAACGCCTGGCTTATTCCACGGCGAATTTTTATCACTAACGCGAAGTACTTTTACAATGGGCTCTTTGGGTTGAGTTTTCTTGCCGCTAATAAGGGATTTACTGGCAAACCAGGAATAAAATTTTAAAGTACCCTCGTGAAGAGTTAATTCTTGATCCATGGGAAATAAAAGACTTTAACACGTCTAGTCTAGTTTTTTTCAACATCTGATTAGTTTATTTGAAACAATTCTGTACAGAGTATTAATAATATTCTATTATTAACTAAACCAAGACGAACTTGAAACTGACTTGACTTCACACCTTTGCTATGATCCTTTAGGACCATCGCCTATGAAAACAACAAAATATTCAAAATGACAACACAATACAAAGAACAACTACAAAAAACCAAATTTCAGTCACCTATTTCGGTGATTTTTAAGGGAGATGTATTAGTAAAAGTAAATGTTATGTACATCACCAATGCATAAAGGAAGTCAGGGAAAAAGTAAAGAAAACTTATAGGAAGAAATGGATCAAGCACGTATTGGTTTTATTCAAAAACTGATTCATTGGATAATGCAATTCTAGAGCTCTGATTGGCTTAGCCATCATGGTATATGAATCATTATACCATGCTCTCCAAATGTGGTAACTTTAAGCGTCTGCTCAAAATTAAAAACAAGCTGAAAATCGGTTGTTTTTACAAATAGTTGGGAAGAATTCTTGATATTTTGAGGGACTTCGTAATAAAACAATAATTATTATTCTACTTGCCCTTGTTGGATATGAGACGATTATAGCCAACTCGGCAATACGCGCCTCGTTGGCTATCTACCATCTCATATCCAACACACACTCGTGGAATAATTGTTAAATACACTGCAGAAGAGACTGGTTTATAATACACTGCAGCTCATTATACCTTTATAAGCATATTCCAAAGCACTTGCTATGGCTGTCATATCTGCCTCTATTACTCTTGACCAGTTCTCAACATCGCCCAGTTCCTGAAATGTGATGCATCGTTTAAGCAATTATTGGTAACTGTACTTTTGACTTACGGCAAAAATGATTTCAAACTATTCCTACCTTTAAAGCTTTGTTGAAGGCTTCTAACATCTGAAGCCACTGCACTGTCTGTTTAGAGAATCGTACTAAGGCCGAGAACACAAAAAAATAGCAGAATAAAGTCAAAAAGGTCAAACAAAACATTATACATTTGTCAGAGTTTGCATTTATCATAAAGTTATGAAGAGAAATAATCTAGATTGTTAATCTCCTGGGAATTTGAATCTCTTTCCTATCTGAATTTTAGTAGCCTGTGAAAAACAGCTGCCTCAACCTTGTTCCCAGGCTCCTCTCCTTCTATGCTGACCCTGAGAGCAAGTTTGACAGCTGCCTCTAAATTAATGATGGGTGATGGACGGGAAAAGCCACCAAAAGCTTTGAAACATATGAAGACATCTATGTCATATGAATCTAGGTTAATCCCTTCGGCCAGTCAACCGTCTCATAAGCAACCACCCTTGTTGCACGACAAAGTGGTCGCTTACAGGAGGTGGTCTGTGGGAAAAATCAGGAAAATAAGCTCAAACTGAACTGATTAACGTTCATACATGTTAAAGTTATTACCTAACAAGTTAAGACTTGTTTCACATCGAATACAGTAAACACCCACTAATAACAATCTGTGGATTAAGAACATCCTGCCAGAAATTTGCCATTTACAGGTAATACCCAAAAATACAAGAACCTGTTTAGCCAAGCAAAATCAAGCAGGTGCTTATATTTCTGGTTTAAATAGTGGTTGCTGTTGTTTTTGAAATTTAAGAAATTGAAAACTGAAGTTTACTTTGGTCGCTTATGAGAGAGTTTTACAGTCAAACCAGGTCAAGCGTTCCCGTCACTAGCAAACTAATGAATTCATTAATGGAAAAATGATTTCGTTTGTTGATTCAATAATGCATTCATAAAATGAATAATCCAACAGTCAAATTGGACCTCGATTCAATAATTAAATGTTGATTTGGTTTATGAACAAAATCTACCTGTTCTTTATTCTTGTCTGTTGAGTTCAATTGTATTTGCTTCCCTCTTCCTGCCATTTACGATTGCGTTTGTAATTGCCTTTAATCAAAATAACAGCTAGAAGAGACAGACCACAAACGCAAAGAAACTGACAAAGGCCGGGGATCGAAATCCACCAATCACCGCACATACACTGACCTTAGCTTCACTATCGTGTTTCCTAAGAGGTCAGGTCCGTTGCAGTGATTACTGGAAACAAAATGACGTACATGTAACAGTTTGTTTGGGTTTGAAATTCAGAACTCGTCCGAACTAGACTCTTAGAAAAAAAGGAGGAAAAAAAAGTGTAGTTTTTCAAAGAACAGTAATCGAATCAACATTCGATTATGGAATTGAGGCTAAATATGAATATTGGATTGTTCATTCTATGAATGGATTATTGAATCAATAAACGAAATCATTTTTCCGTTAATGAATTTATTAGTTCGTTAGCGACGGGAACGCTTCACCTGGTTTGACTGTAAAACAGTATTTGCATGAGCAAAAAACGGTTGTTTTTAAAGTTGTTGTTTACGGGAGATGGTTGCTATGAGAGAGTTGACTGTATTCACATCTACAATATTCAAGTGGTACTGCATTAATTTCACCTGCGTGAGCTTGTAACTGTTTGGCTTCTGTCTCCAACTTCCTTTGATTAACATAGGCTTGCTCTACACTATAGAAATATAAACATATGGATGTAAGTTTTCAAGCACAATAGTCTCTATCTTTTGCAAACATTCTCTTTTACTTTCAGATTTAAAAAGAAGAAACCATTTTAATAATATTTTATAATATTTATTTGCATTAAATTCTACCAAGAGACAAGAACTACATTTGCAAGCTGGAAACAGAAGACTACCTAGATACCGAATTTTGGGCTGATTTGAGAGTTAAATTTTTGTTTTAGATTGAACATTGTGGCTTTCTGGTGATTTGGTGCCAGAAGAGACTGCAGATTGACATGGTTTGGTTAGAATGGTTTAAATTGGAACTATGACTCTCCACGAAATCAATTAAAATGCATTCTTTTTTTTCACGTTGACATGTTCTCATCCACAGCATAACTCCAAAAGACAATACCAAACCTACATTGAACTTAAAATACCTTGAATCAAAATGGCAGCTTTTGAATCTTCTCACAAAGGACAATTTACTTCATCTACTCAGTTGATGAAACCAAATTTTGATTGTACCCATACTGAAATAGTAACACAACTGTAGAAAGTAATCCCTTTGTGATGAGAAAAAATGCATGTGCTTACCCATTGTTCAGGGTATCCATCATTTTGTAGGTTAGTCTGGAGGAAGCCACTACAGCCTCTCGTCTGAGATGTTCTAAAACAACAAAGCCAAAAAATCAGTATTAATCTTACAAGTGTGCAATTTCAAAGGTGTTTGACTTCAAACTTAAGATGCTAAGCCTTGTTTGAATGAAAGAGGAGCCCTGTAAGAGAAGCTCTTTCACCTTCTTTTGAATTTAAAGTCAAAGTTTTGAGAATATACAAAACCTATCACTAGCTCAGTTATATGTGCATCCCTTTATTGTGTGGCTGTTCTTTGTTCTCACGTTGAAACAATGACTTATAAACACAAGAAGTGCAAAAGATTACAACAACTTGACAGATTAAGTAACAGAAATGGGGCAGACTGGGGCAAAAATGCATAAAACAGATGTGAATGTTGTCAACAACTTGTGACCCATGTGAAGGGACACACTTGAAAGACTGCTGCACAGGCCCTGCCTGGGCTATAAGGTTTAGGTTGACTAGTTACCTAGTTACCTAAATTATCCAACGTGGCGGCCCTAAACAGCCTGAATTTCAGACGATTACTTCGAGTCGTTTTTACTCCCTCAGTAACATCTGAATCGACCACCCGTTTGTGCCATCCAGTGACGTTACTACAGCTCCTTTGCTTTAATTCATGCAAAAAGTAAAACATGATTTTCAACTGGTAAACAAAGAAATATTGTCTGGAAATGTCTACATGATACAGAATTGCTTTACTCTTTTTGATTCAAATCAATCCAAAGTGGACAGACTGCAAATTATAGTAGTTGCTAAAAAATATATCTGCATGTCATATCTCTTTGTCAGTAGGATGCCTAAAATGTGTGCAATTCCACAATTTGGTTTCAGCTCCATAAAATCCTATACCAATCTATTTCGCAAAATTTTAGCAGGAGCCACCCACAATGTGAGCACAGTCACGGACAACACACATAAGTGAGGAAAATAACACAAAGTAAAACTGAGACGTTAGTTAACGAGCTAAATGTACATGTCAATTAAATAAATAAAAAATAATAATACACACGCACAAAATAAAACTGTGCACGAACATGTACCAAGATGTAATTGTAATTAAATGTTTAATGTTTAAATTGTCAACTGTATGCGGTACTCTGAACAAATTGGTTGTACTCAATCGCAATCACGCAATGAAATAAGCTTAAATATACACACAGAACACTTTAAAACACCACAATTTGCTTTACTGTATTTTTTTTATTTTAAGGCGCAGGATTTTTTCAACGAAAGTTTGTTTGATAGCTCTAAATCTGTTGTAATTTCGGGGAGCGTCTTATAACCGAGTGCACCTTATAACTTAGCGCCTTACGTTAATTGAAAAGAAGCTATTTTGTCCTAAAAGAAGAAGAAAGAAAACAAGACAACAAGAAAGAGAAACTAACAGAATCGTTACACTTGTCGCTGAAATGACAAGATGGTCGAATTATAATTTAAATCCCAGAAAACTTCTCCAAACAAAGTCACTGCTGAAACCACAAAGTGGCTCTAAAAGAAACACCTACCGATTCTCCGCAATGATTCTTCATTCGTAGTTCTATTTAGCAATTCATAGTTTCAAACACAAGGGCAATTTTGCTGTTTACGATAAAGATTGTCAAAATTTTTTAGCCCAACCCAAGTATGTCAGGCATGCGATCCACTGAATATCAAGCAACAATCCCACTAAAATTTATCATAACTATACATAATTATGCAAATGTTTGGAAATCAACTGATCAAAATCACTACCCGGTTTTCAAGTAGAGATGTCACTGGATGGCATTAATGCCGGTTGATTCAGACGTTGCTGAGAGGAGAAAACAAATAGAAGTAATCGTCTGGAATTTATGCTGGGCCCTAAAGGCTTTGAAACTGACAATCAAAAAATGTGTCTTAATTGGGGAGAAGCATGGTTTTTGGGTGTAATTTAGGAAGTTTGTCTGGCTCAGTGAAAAGTGCATCAATAGCTGTTTGAAATGGTTAACTTTGCTGGTGGATAAACTCAATAAATAATTGTATTAAGGCATATATGCAGGAAAAGATGTTCAAAGGCAAATCTGAAAATCTTTATTCTCTTCTGTACTTTTTTTTTACAACACTAATGACAGTTAAAAATATTCCCTTTTGACTAATGGTACTTATGTGAAAGCAAGGGAGGGTAGTACGGGATAGGTGTCAACAAAATATGCTTGGATCACACCAGATCAGATCAATCAACCATGTAACTCACTTGTAAATGACATTAGGTTAGGGATGGAGGTTACAAGGCTTGATCCAATCCAGGATTTGTCTGTTGCTTTGTATCATTCCATACTTATAACCAACTAATTACTTTTTGTGCAATTTTAATGGTTATTTTGGGTCATGTGATGGCATTAAATAGGAGGACAGGTATCAGGCAATACAGCCCCTCTGTGTCGATATTTATGTTGTAGTTAATTTTTATCTCAGGTAATTTTTGTTTTACGCCTGCGTCGCAAGTGAAGGTCGGGTGCCCATGGGCCAGGGGGCTGCAACCGCAATACACCCCAAGGCGGAAGAACACCAACAGACCTACCAACCCACAACCCAGCCACGAGCCCCCCCACGCCCAGCCCCCCACTATAGCACCCGTCACACTGAGGCCAGAAGCCCAGTGGAAGTAAAATGAACAAATCCCAGGAAAAAAAAACAAAATAAAAAAAATAAATAAAGAAAATACAAAAAATAAAGAAAAAAAGAAAAAAAAAGGAAGGGGGGGGAGACCCTAAACCAAGAAAGCGGAGGGAGGGAGGGGAACCAAGAGAAACGCTACGCTACTAGACCGCCACGCCTCGCCACGCCACGCCAACAAAGCTTCGAGTGCAATGCAAACACAACATAGGCACATGGCCCCTGCATGCACCAAAGTGACATACCGGTGGACAGGAATCTGTCCCTCATGCTCACGAACAATCATAAACACTACAAACGCAAACATGGTCATGCAACAGCGTTAAAGATGGCCAACACGCCACCAAAGAATGCCAAAAACACCCGAGATCATAGCTCCTAGTCGTTATCTACGTTAAATATGATTTAATAGTATTAACAAAAGAAAAAGAAAAATTACTTGAGATAAAAAATTCACTACAACATTTAGCCTATGATTTTTCGGCCACAAGAAAACATAACAAAGTCGACAGAGCTAGTCTCTTCTCCGTTTTTACCTTCTTAATATCAAATATAAGCAGGAATTCTTGGAATTTTTTTCAGATTCTGTGTTTGATGGCTGTAATTCCTAGTTTTCCCCATCTCAGCAACAGTTCTTAAGTTTCTCCTTCCTTATCCAGTGGAAGTATTTTTAGACAAGTTTTCAAATGGTGTAGTTGGTAAAATATAAACTTAAAACACTGTGTTTGCGAGTTTTGATCTATAAGGCATTGCAAAAGTTTATTTGGCATGACAGACTGTCAAGCTCTGGTCCGATCACAGTTTCAATAGCACCAGAAGCCTGTGTGGCAGGTGTTAAAACAGGAAGAGGAAGGAAGAATAAGGGTGTACAAGAGCACGAGGGGCGTGCAAGGAGGGGGAAATAGGGAACGCCTGCAAGAATGCTACTGTCTTTTTCGTTTTTCACATCCACTAAAAAGGTGTAAAAATCCTGATTGGTCAGAATTCCAAACGTGTTAATCACAGCCTTAATAACTTGGTCCAATCAGTTGAAATCAACATCATGCTATTTGAGTAACTTGATCGATCTTTCAGTAATCATCTGATGGCGAGTGAAGGGGGAAGAGATTTTGGGTTGTTTTATAGGAACTTATCACGCCTTCGCCTGATGGATTCAAGGAGCTCCGATATGGATTTGAAGAGTTTTTAAAAGTGTTTAAATTTTTTGAAGACAAACATTGCACGCAAACTGCCAAAAACCCGACATTGAATCAAACTAAATTCCTTAGTTGTCCAGTTCGATCCCTTCAGCAACAGCTTGAACAAATATTTAGGCTGGATTTTATATTGAGGAAATTTAAACTCGTTTCACAAACTCGGCACGAATCCTTGCGATTTTCTTCCTTCATATTTGGAGGTCTGCGTATGGACTTTTTTATAGTGCCTTCATCTTTGTGAACTTGTTTTAGGAAAACAAAATAAAAGCAGTGCAAAAATACAAGTAGAGAATTTGCACTGTATTCAAGTTTATTTGACAGCTAGACATTCACAGTTGTATTATTTTTGTATACATAGTAGGTGGGATGGCAAAAACAATAGCGTCCTTGCAGGCACTCCCCTCCTTCTTTCTCTTTTGTGCCGTCTCAAATCCAAATTGCCTTCCCCTTCCCTTTCGAACACCTGACACTCATCAGGCTAGAACATAAATTTATTATCATGGTACTTGTTTGTAAATCTGTGTGCCTGCAACTTGTCGTAGTGAGATCATTACTTGTTTTTCTTCTTCTTTCAACTGCTCAAGTGCTCAGTAGCAATGAAATTAATTAATCAGAGGGTTAAAAAATAAAGAAACCCCTTTCTAGCTTACTGGAATATCTTAACCGAGGATAATGCCTTTGGCTTTTTGATTGTCCTCAAAATTTTACGGTTGCCCTGGAAGTACCCTGCGAACCGCAGCTGGTCGTCGCTTCTCTCCCTGTTTATTTTCCAGATAACTTCTCTACTGCAGGTATTATCGTCTGATGTACCAGTCGCCAGAAAGGGTTTATTTACTAAGTATCACTAGAGGGCATGCACATAAAAAAGTGATATTGGCCTGGCTATTGTTATTTTTTTTTCCTTTAATCCACATTATGATGTGGAATCAATTTAGATTTTTTTAAAATGCCGTGATGGGACAATACAGGGCAATGTTATTCACATTTAGTTTACCTTGTTTTTCGCGGTGAGCTGCCTGTTTCACTTGGTGCTCTTTATAAGCGCGGGATAACATCTTTGGTGCTCTCGTAGAAAAATGGTGGTTATTGCACCCAAGGCAAACTTGATTATAATTTACATGACGTCGTAACCCTTGGAGCGTTCAGTAGGTACTTCATGAATTAGTCCCCATTCATCCGTTGGGTATATAGCGCGCTTTACAGTTGGGGGGCATGAGGATGCTGACGGTCATGAGTTTGGCACGCCAATCAACTTTCTAAAAGTTCTTTAAGAAATGATTGTGAAATACTATTCCGAGACAAGTTAAAGAATGTTTAATTTTGGAAGAGATAATACTTTATAGTCGAAGGACCCGTGATGGATTATACAACTTTGTCGCGGGGAAATATGACAAACCTGAATATGAGCGCGCACAGTGGTCAATCGATGCAAGAAACTTTCGAACATATCTACCCATCGTTGCTTCAATGCTTTGCTGTGATTCTTCTTGGCTACTGTATTGGAAGACTCGGTTATATTTCTCCTACGTCAAGCAAAGGCATTGGAGTATTTGTGAGCCTTGTATCTCTACCCGCGCTAGTTTTCAAATCCATGGTCGAGTTGGACTATTCTAAAGTCAACTGGCGTTTCTTAACCAGTATTCTTATTGCAAAGAGCACCGTATTTTTTGCTGTGGTATTGTTTACGGTAATTCTTGTGCGCCCTACCAATTTTGGAAAAGCTGGAATATATGGGATATTTTGCAGTCAATCGAATGATTTGGCTCTTGGATATCCACTGGGTAAGTGTTACGTAATTTGTTAGTATCAAATGTTTATAATTTCCAGCCAGTCCTATAAAAGTTATTCGAAACACTGGTGTAACTACAAGAGTATTTGTAATTTTTTGTCCATTTTAAGTTTTTTTGTCAATTAATGTCAGACGCGTTGCGTAATCATTCTTTCCTAAACATTCCAAACTTCACCATGTCAGCGCTTGTAAAAAATTAATACTTCCTGTAATATTGCATAACGTAGCGAATCATAGGTTTCACATGGGAAACCTAACAATTTGGGACAAAAATTGTCTTGTCTTAGCTTATTTTGAAGAAAAAAAAGTTCTTTGTGCCGTATTTTAAGCCATTCCATATAATTACCACCCCCCCCCCCCATAGATAAGGTAAGTTTACCCATCTGAAAGAAGGAAAAAAGTCGATATCCCTCAAAAAATTTCCAAAGATTAAAGGTAAAGATGCAGTAATGCCCCCAGCCCCCACCCCCTGTCAAAAAAATATCATCTAAAAGGGGGTGGGCTTCCAGGAGAGGGGGGGGATGGACTTCCAGGATGGGGGTGGGGGTATTAAGTGGGATGACCCTTTGTGTTCTTGAGTCATTGTCTCGATGTCTTGTGTTGAAGCAGGTTTACATATGCCCTCTTGTTTGATAGTTATTCCCACTCTAGTTAATAATTAACTCCTGTCATGCTCTGAAATTGAAATTCAGCTTGTCCTTATGTGGAAGAAGCAACTCTCACATCTTGCTTACCCATGGCCATTGCATACTTGTCTAAGTTTATGATTTAGTTAGATGTTGCCTGGGCCTTTGCCCATTGGGAGAGTGAGGATAAAAAAGGGCTGGTTCCTCTGCAGCAAGAAAGTTAACTTGCCCTTTATGACTGAATGGGACTTTTTAAAGCCCAGTTTCCACCCATTTCTGTGCTTAAGTTTTCCTCTTGTCAAGAACTGAATGTCTTGTTTTGCATACAGGTATGAATGAGTGATAACTTTATTTATACACAGTTAAATACATCAGTCAGACGTAGGAAATTAATATTATTAAAAAATCTCAAAACTGTTTTACTTATTTTCCATGTGGGAGTACTGATCAGAAAACCATCTATGGGAACTTCTCTTAAAGAAACTTAAGGAATTAGATGTATGTATTTCCTCAGGAAGATTGTTCCATAGAAGAGTGTCACTGTAACGAAAGCCACGTTTCCAGGGCTGAAAATAACGGCCGGTCAATGGACAATGTCCAGCCTGATCGCTGACTTGACCGGTCAAACTCTCATCTTGCTGGTCATTTTGACCGGCCATTTATGGATACGAACATATTTTTTTTTGCTGCTTTGCACAAAAAACTTCTAAGAAAAAGAACGCGGCAATACATTAATTTCATGTCGTAATGGAACGCAACAAAGCGAAACATTAACAAACTGAGTTGTGGAGTAACGTAACGTTGCTGGTCGTACTGTACTTTCCGCTTTGCTGTAATTAGTAATGTGACCTGCTTTGGGAATTCGGGTAAATCGATTGCAATTCTCAACAGACGTGAAATCTAGATTGTTGTCGTTATCATTTAGGGTCGTCCAATATTCCATAATCTCAGCTAAAAACGGATCTCGTAGATTGAGTAAAGGAACGTCTTTAGGGCTTAAGTTTCCCCAGAAAACTAATTTCCCTCCGAATTGTGCTAGGTGATGATTGAAAAAAAGCTTCCATTTCCTTGTATCTTGATCCTCTAAATAGCTTTTTACCCATTTCATTTTTAAGGCCTGATCAAAACTAGCAATATCGATCATCTTTAGCCCTCCCTTACTGTAATCATGGATCATTTCTGTTCTTTTTATTTTGTCCCCTTTATTGTCCCAAAGAAAATTGTATAATAGAGCATGAATTTCCTTTATGACCCCTTTCGGTGTCGGAAGGGAGGACAAAACGTAAACAATCTGAGATATTGCTAGAGCTTTTAGAATGGCAGTTTTACCCATAAGTGTGAGTCTTCTGGTCAACCAGCTCCCGAGGATTTTTTTAATCTTTTCGATTTTCTCTGTGAAATAATAATTTCTTTATGTCGAACATGAATCTCGTTTTCGGACTCGATTCCAGAATACAGTGTAGTCTGACAGAAATTTAAGCTAGTCGAGAAGGAACGTCGTCTATCTCGCATTTAAAAACAACTTTATGCAAATTTCTGTTGACATTTGAGCCCTTCGCGATAAAGTGTTGCGCGGTGACCCAAATGAAAGCTCAGCTATATATTAATTGACTTCTGATAATAAACACACTGTTTGTGGAACAGACTTCTCGCGAATGCAAATAAACTTCTTCGCCAAAAATATTAGCGACGATTCTTCTTTGTGGAGGAGATTTTCGATCACTTGCCAGGCAAGGAAAAAGATCAAGTTTCACCGATGTTCATTTCAGAACATCAACGTAAAACAAATTTTTGCAGAAACCCAAGTTATTTTTTTTCGTAATTTTTAAAGTTTGTTGAACTGTATGTGTATTCCATTTCCTGAACCTTGAGAGTTTGAAAAGGATTTACGCTTCACTTTTTACCTTTAGAGACGTCAGAAACCGCCATACCATGATATTCAAGGTAGAACAGGCATTAAAACCGCGGAAAGGAACTCTACAATGTGTGAATGCATTTTTCACCAAATTGCTGTCAAAAATGTGAACGGACAATGTAGTAAAAGCAATCTATTGCCAGCGTAATTCAAAATTCCTTAGGCAAAAAAAATTATAGTATTCATTATTTGACCAGCCAGAATCAGGGTTTGTCCGGGCTAAAAAATATTTGGCCGGTCATCATGACCAGCAACCTGCTATCCGTTATTTTCAGCCTTGCGCTTCAGGTTACCAGTTCTTGGTTTTGGGAGCATTAATATTCTTCTTTCTTGGCAAAATAGTAATTTGGTGTTCTTGGGGCAAACAAATCAGAGAGAGAAGCTGGGGCGAGATAATTAATGCGCTTGTACATTAAATAAGCCTTTTGTTTAGCCCTTCTAACCAATAAATCATCCCAACCAAGTGAGTTAAGAAGATATATGGAACTCGCATCAATGGGCAAAAGCCCAGGTTGCAATGACGTTGTAAAAGAAATTGTAGTGGAGCTAAAAGCTCTAACTCTTTGAACTAGGGTGCTAATTAGCATATCTTCATATTTTGAGCAAAGTCTAGGATTTCCTCTTCATCTGTAGTTTACATCAAAGCCAGAGGCTACATGCAGGCACTGCTTGATCACAGTTCGGAGTCTTTCTTTCGATTCACAACTCCTGCTTAATTCTGTTGTGGATTAAAATTTCATTAGACAAAAATGGGCTCATGTAACAGTTGCTAAGTCACCAATGGTGCCTAACTCTGACCCCAAACAATACTGAAACAATTGAAAGAATGACATGTCATTGTTTTCTGTGACAAATCAGGAGAGACCTTACAAGCAGCTCCTACACAACTGCAAAAATGTGGTCTTGGGTCATTCTTTAATAACATCACAAGTTAAGAAGACTTGCCAATAACGGTTTCCGGCATTTTATAGTAAATTTCAGTAATTGTCTACATGTGGAATTCTCAATATTTGCGTTCAAGCTACGAGAAGGCAACCCCTAATTTGTGTTGGATGTTCTTTGCATTATTGGGTGTCCTGTGCAATTAATAAGGGAGCTTTTTTTTTAGATTGCATTTTCGTCGTCGTCGTCGACACACATTTACCTCGCTTTGAGGCGCTTGCTTACATTTTGCCTTACTTTGACGCGCTAACTCACATGGTGATTCTTGGGTCCTGGGCATTCATCTTTCAAAGGTTTGCTGAGGTCTGATATTCTGGCTTCGTAACGCGTTCATCTTTTAAAAGTTTTGCTGAATCTTCATAAAGCGTACATTGATCTGTGTTTGCTGAATCGTCCAAAGCGCTCATCTTTCAGAAGTTTGCTGTTAAATTTTAATTGGATTAAGCCTTCATAATTATTTTTCAGCATGGTTCGTCACTGTCTTTGGAAAATGTCTGCGACTCCTGGTGCATGCATCAAACCGGGTTTAGTTCGGTGGCGGTTGTGCCACAAAGTAAATTTACCGAGTTTTGTAGCTCAGCAGCCGTTGTGCCACAAAGTAAATCTACCAAGATGTGAAGCTCGGCGGCACCATTTGATCATGACTTGTGATATTTTCGGCACCAGACAAACGAACACTTTAAAGCTATGTTATTAATTAGGATAAACTTATAAACCACTCTTGAGTCACTGAAACCAACACGCTCAACCAAACTACTTGAAAAGTTGTTGATGTGAGCTGCACACACATTCCATTGAAGGCTTTGACAGGGTTAGTGGGAAGTTTGAATTCAGATGTGAATTAGAAAGCTTTTAAATCAGTAAATTCAATGTAATTCATTTTGTCAACAAGTTGATGATTGGATGCTCTTAAAAATAACAGAGGAAATTATCTGAAGAAATGTTTTTGAAGAATGTAAAAGAATCTGGGGTTAAGCACTAATCGGCCTTTGAGCAATTGTGCCCTCTAACTTGCGCCAGTAAAACAAAATGTTCTATATACACGCCCTACGCACTCTGGCCAATGTCTCCTCCGATTACAAGCACTTTACACGGAACCATATGATATCTTTTCAAAACCTTCTTATAATGTGATACACAGTTTAAATAGAGGTTTTGCTGCATGCAACTCTTACATTCAAAATATGCCATAATCATATTTATCTATATTGCAACCACCCTTCCCCCTCAACTGTTACCTGTACGCCTAACAAACATATCGAACGCACTCTTCTAAGCTCTGATTACTCCTAGTAAATTTAAATTAATGATTACATCTAAAACTTGTCAACTGTTTGCTTTTTAACAGTACCTGGGCCGGGTTGTTCAAAGCTGTGTTAAGATAACCCAGGAGGGGAGGGTTAGTGCGAAATGTGAACTCAGATGTGAAAGCTTCATTTTGCCAACAAGTTGATGATTGGACGCTCTTAAAAATAACTGAGAAAATTATTAGTTTTTTAACAAAAGAAAAAGAAACCCAAGTTAAGCGCTGATCGGCCTTTTGCACAACTGCGCCCTGTAGAACATCTATTGGGCCAGTAAAACAAAAAGTTTGTTTTACACACCTGAAGCACTCTGGCCAGTGTCTCCTCAAATAACAAGCACTTGAGACAGACCATATGATATCACGCTGATCACTAGCCTTCAAAACCTTTTCATTACGATCCACAGTTTAAATTGAGGTTTCGTTCTACGCAACCCTTACATTCAAAATGTGACATAATCATAGTTATCTATCGCAAGAACCACCCACCTTTTCCCGTCAACTGCTACCTGTACACCTAGCAAACATATCGAATGCACTCTCCTAAGCTCCGATTACTCCTAGTTACAATAGTAATCCTTGTTTATGTTGCAGTTGGGGCTAGTTTCTAATGTACACACCTGTATCGCTTGTTTTGTATGGCTAGTAAAAATAATTTTCCTGCTGCATATCTCGTGGAGCACCGCAGGTGCACGTTCAATTCAGTGGTACAGTATTTATCATTGGCTTACTCTCAGCTCATAGTCGGACTATAAAAGGCCTAGTAAAAAGCCCGTGTCTCATTTTGAGCTGTATTGCTAAGTTGTAATAGTTCAACTGTCCTGAAGTTTTTTAATTCCCACCCTTCCCTTCCTTTGATGGTTTTGTTGTTGTTATCAGTAAACATGGGCTCACCACTTTCTTTCCTCTTCTGTTTAAGTCTCCTGTGGACTTCCCCAAGCTTTCATTTTAATGCAAACTTTTATATTTGATTGTATTCCTGCACGTGCTGGCGGAGTTGGCTCGTAGTATTGATAAGATAAAGTTCCTAGAACAGAATAATTGCCTACACCATTCCATTTAATTGCACAATGCTGGCTTGAGGTTTCAGCTTGTAGTGCAGTATTTCTTTTGGACCTGCCTGAGCACGGATATGTAAAATAGCGTCGGGGAGATAAGTAAGGCTTTATGGTCACGCTATGGAAGTCGTCTGCCATGTTGATCACGGAGCAGTGTTCCCCCCTTTACGCCATATGTTTTTATTGTTGTCATGCTTTTATTAAACTTTAATTTAAAGCCTAGCCAAAGAACTGTGACATTAAGGGGAAAAAGTGTTATTATTACGCTCAAAAAGGAAAACAACTACTTATATTGCTATTTTATTTCATTGCAGTAAAAGCAATATACCAAGATTTGCATCCTGAATATGTAAACTACTTGTATCTGATGTTGCCAATTTCTCTGGTAATCCTTAATCCCATTGGATTCATTCTCATGCAAATACAGAAGCAGAAGCAAAGTACAACCGAATCAAACAGCAAGCTAAAGATTGCTTTTACAGCATTCAAAGAAGTTGTCACTGATCCTATTGTTTTTATGACACTTATTGGTCTTGTTGGACATTTTATTTTTGATGGTCACCTACCACAGGTTCTTGATCAAATCCTTAATAGTCTTGGCCAGGCATTTTTGGCAACAGCCTTGTTTTATTTGGGAGTCAGGATGGTTGGAAACATGACAACTAAACTTGGTCGTGGGTTGCTGGTTCCCCTTTTGTTAATTTCTGCAAAATCGTAAGGATTGTAGGAAGTTTACAATGGTATTGTTATTTAACAATTATTCGCCGAAGGCGAAGTTAATGTTGTTGAATAATAATATTAACTGAGCCTGAGGTGAATAATTGTTTTAGTATATTCACACGAAGTGATCTCAACAGAATCAGAAAGGAAACCATTAAAAAACGATTAGTTTGATTGACGGGTGAAAATTCATGCGTGAAGCCGTAAACAGTGAATGCGCAAAAGTTAGTATAGGTCTTTACAGTATCTTCAAACATGGCAAATGATAGTTTTAATCCTTTTGTATCGAGTTTTGTAAGCTTTAGCATCAACGGTTTAAAAGAAAACGCCGAAAATTTAAATTACTACCCAATTCTCAGAAGAAAAGTATCTAAAGCTTTATTTGTTTCTGTCAACTCACCGTGAATGAGAAAGTTTTCTTCGCCGCTTCTTGCAAATGCTGTCAACAGCGGCTGCGATCAAGGTGAGCGTTGATTATCTCTAAAGTTCTTTGCCGTGTTAACTTGCTGGCACGTACAATTTTCGAAAATATTTGCCTTCCTCTCTTCTCCATAAATTAACTTCTATTTATAGGCAAAATTGGTCTTGCGAGAAAATCCCGAAATCACAAAACGGTGACAAAGCGACCTCGTTTTCCTCTGTAGTGGTAAACATAGCTTCGAGCGTACAAAACGTCAGCTAAAGTAAACCACTCCACAATAAATCACGCTGTTTAAACACCATGAAGTCTTTTCTTGCCTTCAAAGTCATCAGCATTTGGATATTCGTGTATTTTCAAAAAGGTTTTACTTTGAAACTTTGGCAAAACACCCAGTTCACGACAGCGATTTTGTTCGGCTTTATATTCACCGCGTAGCGCGGTGAATATAACGTCATAGTCCGAGATAGCTAACCAATCAGATTGCTTGAATTACCAAGATCACTGAGTGTGTATATACTAAATAATTATAGTCTTAAATCAAAGTTGTCAAATGAAATTAAGATATTTCCAACAGAAATACCACACACACAAGATAGGCATGCATAGCAGCAGTAAATTGAAACTTGTTAAGGTATCATCCACCCTCAAGCACCCTCCCTGCGTTGATCGGCGCTAGCGCTTTTGCTTTTAACAAATACCCCCATAAACCGTACATTTTCTTAAAGCTTAATAGTTCCAGATTATTGCTAATTCCTTTTAAAAAATCAAAATATTAACGGGATTCAGAAATGAGAAGCTTTTTGTGAAAGTGGGTGTCACTGTAAATTTAAGTCCAGGCCAGCCAAAAATAAACGGAAGAAGCCAATTAAGATCCCATTCGCTTCTTAACACTTTTGACTAAAAAACTGTGTCTCAGATTTTTGTCAAGTGGGTTTGTTCTTTTGTTATAAGAAGTTGAAATCAGGGATAGCAAATCATTAGCACTACCTGTGAAAAAAATACTCTTACTCGAAAACGAAAAAAGAAATCAAAATTCACAGACACTTTTTTTCAGAAAAACTATCTGACGAGAAGTTGGCCAAATTTCAGCCAAATATGTTCATGGGTTGCCGACTTGGAGTTTAAAACATACCCTAGACTTGCCCTGATTTTCTTTTCGAGAAAACAGGGGAAAAGGATTTTTGGCGGTGTATTACCCGTGACGGGATTATAACAGATTATAACACCAAAGCTGTCAATGTTGATGCGTACCAGAAAAGGGACAACAACAGTGACACAGCAGGAAAAGGTTACAAACGAAACCCGACAACAAGTTATTTCAAAGGCCCTGCTCTGTTCGATCCTTCAGTTGTGGAGAAAGCATTTTAGTTACTTGTGACGGGCAGTTTTCATTTTGAGCCAAGCCAACTTTTACTCGATACATTTTCTAAAAGTTCGACACTTCCCTGGAAAAATCGACAGCAAACAGCTTCCTGGAGTTTTTCTTGAAGCTGTGCTCCTGCTACAAGAGATTTTCAAAAAAGTCCTTTGTCCAATCTTTTTTATGGCATGGGACCAGTCGTGAATTTGTCACTCGCTTGGCCTCTTCGCAGCCTAAAAAGCTCGCTCCGCTCGCTAAGAAACTCGTGAAACTCGATTTCGCAGTAGTTTCAATGGGTTTTTCAGAAGCTTTGTCATCTTTTAGCCATTTTTCTTTATTGTAGTAGAAGCCCTTGTCGCTCTCTGCTAATTTCAAAGCCCACACTTTCCAAACGATTCTGTCGTCTTGGAGTAGAGGATGAAAACGGACAAGCTCTTTTTTCTTCTTTGGAGGCATTCACTTCCAAAATCCAGGGGAAAACAGTGAGCACTAGACTACGATTTCTGTCAAATTGCGTGATTAGCTTGGTTCAACAGCGGCATGCGTATCAAGTATGACAGGACTTGTCAACGATCAATTAAAAAAATTAGCATAGAAAAAACTGTAATTATCTCAAAATTGCTACCAGAAGTGAAGTATCTGGTTAGGCTGTGGCTGTGCTCTGAGAAAAGGTTGTAGGGCACCTAAAATATCCTGTAAACCAATCAAATTCAGGTTACCAGGCATGTGAGCCTTGTGTAAAAATAATCTAAAGGTTTCTTGTTGATCAAAGGCAAAACTAAGGCACTGTTTGCCATCACGCTTGGAGCGTAGTCACAGTGCCTGATTATAATACTCACTTGGTACTAATTTGAACAATCTAATTTTTTTTATTAAGGAATACCACCTAATAGTCTTTAGCTACATTGTATTATTTTTTTCTTTGGAAAATAAGAACCTAATCAATAACCTAAATGGCTTAAATTTGTGCTAATTACTATTGATGTAAGAACCTGTTTAGGCTAACTTGGCAAAATGCAGGTTCCTACTCATGGGTTTTTACTGTATTTTCATAACATATTATTATTATTTTGTTCAAATGAAGGCTTTTCCTCCCTCTCATTGCACGGGAAATGATTCAAGTTCTTCACGTTGGTAGCAGCTCCAATGAGACAAATTCCTGGAGCATGTTTGGTTTTTTGTATGGCACATTTCCTGCTGCACCATCCTCAGCCATATTTGCAGCTAAGTTTGGCTTTGAAGAGGAGCTGGTAATTAAGTGTTATTTGTGTCATAAGTGACAAATATTTCCTAATTGATGTTTTATTTCGTATATTAATTTTTTGAGTAAGGAACTTTTTCAGTCTGCCTTTCAATCTGTGGTGTTTACTATCATTACTTGTGAAATTCAAGTGGGCAGAGTCTATAAAATTATTTAAATTACAGCTATAGCATAATTTTCATAATGATCTTATCTTGTTGTTTCGGTCACTTGAGGACCAAGAGACGTCCTTCCAAGATTGACTTTATTACTGTGATATGAACTTAATTAAATTTGATAGTACTAATTAATTTTTCCTTTATTGACTCACCACAAACCCACTGGGAATGTATTTTTTTAATCAGTGCTTTTTTCAACTTAATTTGTATTCTTGGTGATCTATGCATTTAAACTACTCAATTGCTTTGTACAATATTATTTATTGGTTCAATAATAATTATAGTCTCAGTGAACTGTTGGCAGAACTGCTATTTTGATAACGAAACATGAACTATTTTATTATTTTTGTTCAATATTACAGATAACAAGCACAATGGTGATGAGTACTTTCTTGTCAGCTCCACTCATGTTCATTTCTGCTCAGATGTCACTCTTACATTACAGTGCTAAAACTGCCATTGATTTTATACGTGTGTTGAAAGATGCCATGGTTGATGTCAGTGGTACCTCACTTCCTTTTGGAGTAAGTCATTCCTGTATTGCATACAGATTCCTTTTGGCTGCTGAAAGGAGATTCATAGTCCCTTTGTGTCTGTGCTGTTCTCGCCCTCTGGCATTCACTATAATACAGTGCCACTTGAGGCCTTTTGGCTTGCATGATCTTGAAATGGTAGAATCAAGTCAAAAACAGTGTAAGATGTTTAAAGGGACATAGCCAGCTGATGCACATGTGCATTAGATACCATTTTTCGTTGATTTGCATATCACAAAACAATGATGCGGGTGAAACTGAAAGAGAACACATGCTTTGGAATATGTGAACAAATCTTGTGGAGTTGAACTAAATTCAAGTCCAAATCGTGATTACAGACCTTAAATCTTATCAGAGCACTTTAATACTTACTTATTTATTATTTTATATACCAATGGTAATTCACGGATGCACTTGTCCACGGAAAGCCAAACATCGACAAATACTTCCGAATGCGAAGAATCAAAATATATCCAAATATATATAACTTATCTCCATTGATTTTCCATATATAATGATGACTTGCTTTGCAATGTTATTGAGACATTTCTCTTGTTATTTTGGTAAATGAAAGTAATTTCTCCCGCCCAGTGCCCACACATTTCTCACCTCTTCTTTCAAGTTCCTTTGGATATTGTGTTTAACCAAGTGCAATAAAATAATTTGATAGGATGAGTAGTTTGCTGAAAAAGAGGTTTTCAGTAAAAGAGTGAGGATCGAATGAAATTAAACTAGGCCAGGCAAGATTGAAGTGGATTTCTAGAAGTGTTTGATGCACACATTTGATTTTGGGTTGAGGTAAATTCTTTTCAAACTAACAAAAGTAGTGTCCAGGTCAGTATGGTCCCATAGCTGACTGTGTCCATTTAATGGTAGTAAAAACGAAAAAAGAGTAAAATGTTGATAATATTACTTGCTGAAGTCTTTTTACAATACATTGGACCTCTTGGCTGTTGAAATAACATAATTATACATAAATCTTTTTTATTTGAACAGATATGGGTTTTTGTTGTCTTATTCCTTGGAAGGCGTTACAGGATTTACCCTCATAATTACACAATGTGCCTGATTGTGTTTCAGGTATGAAAGAGTTATTTCTAATAGATAAATGTGAAGTTTTTAAATTTAATCATTTCAACGTCATTTTTAATCCAGTTGGTGAAAACCTCTCTTCATGTTTTTCAACTCTGTGCCTTACAGTAGTTGTAGTTGACTTTTGTAATATTGTGCTTTGTTTTTATTAGATTATAGCATGCGTCTCAACAATTCTTTCAAGGGTTCCTTGCACTTCTCAGTACTGGCTGTTGTTTGTGACCATTTTGTTTTTTTATGGACTTTGGGGATCTCGTTGTTGGGCAGCCATGATTGCATTCTCCTTATGTGTTGTGCGATGTAAAGGTGCAAAGGCTGTTGATAACCTCAGAGTATGGATTTGGCTCTTTGGCTCTGGGTAAGCTCCATGTTACAGATATAATGCTTGCATGCTCATAACTAAAGAATTATTTATAGAGAGTCCATCTGTGAGGGTCACTATTTGTTAACTGAACTGTTATTTCTTTTGATCAGTTGTATAAGAAGGGAAATTAGGGCAAACAAAGTTTTGAAGTATAATCTTTATTTAGTGGGGCTGTGGTAGCTATAAGTTTTCCAGAGGTACAAACAGTTTTCCAAATCAACCTGGGTTCGTCTTTTAAGTCTTTTTCACATGTGTGACTTGATTACATTTCCAATTTTTAATGGTATAGTGAAGACTGTGTTCACCTGGCAACATTTACAGCTCTGCAAGTGTCAAAATAATGCAAAAAAACCTCCGGCATTTTGTGGGAAAAATTATTTGGGATAGGTTGCCTGCAGGGGATTTATATGGGAATTACATGATGCACCCTTTTCCAGCTATGCCTTATCCAACTGGTGGTCTATTATCAATGCTGCATTCTGATTGGTTGAGCTACTACTAGGCTATATGTTATAGCCCACTAGTAGCGAAAAGTGCGGGCTTTGAAAACCAAAGCAATGGCGGCTGAATCTCGTTTTGCTAGCTCAAGTTGTTTTGTCTTGATATTTTTGACGAACCAGTTGGATTTTACTAAGAGAATTATTCTTCTCGCCCTCATGGCCCCTGAGTCAATAGCCCACTCGGGCTTGAGGAATAATTGTTAATTATTTTATCTTCTTTTAAGTCCCTTGCTTTACTTTTTAATTTTGGCTTTTTGTTTTTGGTTTTATTTGCTTTTGACATTTTTCCAGTGGGTATCATCGTGCAGAGAAAGTACTGTCTGATAGCCGGGGAGTAGTGTATTTTGCTATTGGGCTAGTGAATTCTGTTCTTAACTTGCCTGATGGGCAAGTGAAGTTTTTTGAGGAATTCAGATTGTGTAAGAACTGTGTAATTAATCCTGCTCATCAAAAAGTCTTTGGAGCTAGTTGAAATGAATTTTGGGCTACTGGCAATACATACTAGCTACAGCTTGCCCAAATAGCAACTGTAAAACTGACTTTTGTTGCACCCTGGGTACATGTTGTGTGTACTGGGTATACAGGTAGCTATGCCCGTGTTGACATGTAGTTGGTGACCAGACCTAATATTATTCTAAAACAGGCTTCAAATAACGACAGGTTTTTTTGACAAAAGGGGTATAGCAGGCAGGGTGCAGTTAACTTTCCCACTGATCAACCTATCTTAAGAGGTGCCTCTGCAAGTTATTCTTGTTGTCCTTATTATGGCATGATATTTCTGCACAAAAATTGAGGCTATTATTTACTAAACCCTTCATTACTGACAAGAGTCTTTATCTAGGTTTGCCACATCTTATGATAGTTATTACCTCTGTGTGCTGGCTGAATTATATTATGTAGTACTAAATTTATCACTGTCAGGTGTCATTGTTAATCTTGTCTTTGTTTACTAAATTGACAGATTGCCTGCTCTTTCTTGTGGGATTGCTGTTGCACTACTACATTCTTCTTATAGTAAATACAGGCAAACTCCTTTGTTCTTATTCAACATCTTAATGGAAGTAAGTATACAGTTTTTTATAGCTTCCCTCAGACTAGATTGAATTAGATGTCAACAACTTAAGTAAAATAATGTTATGGATGATTAAAAGAGGTTGTATGTGAGGTGAGTTTTTCACAACTAAATGCTACAGTTTTGGTTGTCATTAGTTTTTAAAATGGGAAACTGCTTAATTAGTTGTTAACAAAAAAAGGAAATTTGGTTCAAGACAAATCGTGGTTTGTACAATCTTGAAAAGTCCTTGAATTCGGTTAAGGTTCTTGAAAAGTCGTTGAAATTGACAACCTTGCCTACACCAGACACCTTTTTCTGCAAAATTAGATTATTTTGCCGAGAAACATTTGGCTCATCCCCGGTATAAGAACCTGTGAAACTCACTGGTAATATAAAAACATTTTGATGCAAATTGCAAGTCATACCCAGACGTTTTGCAAAGAATTGTCGCGGAAAGTAGTATAAAATAATGTGATCAACGATGGCCGACAAAGGACAAATCGTAAATGACTCCATTACGTATTTTAGCCAATAGGGTGATAAAAGTTGGTTAAAGACTGCCGATTTATGAAATAAATCTTAGTCGACCCTTGAAAACTGTAAATTGTTCTTGAAAAATCCTTGAAAAGTCCTTGAAGCAAAATTCTGGTCTCTCCTCTAAAACATAGATCCCGCATATTTGAACACTTTATTTTCTTGTTGGCCTCCTAAGTTTGGACAACTAACAACTATTTATATGAAAAGAAAATCCTCGGAAAAAATCAAAGATTAGGATTGCAATAATTATTGGATATCAATTATTTGAAATTGATTTCTTGTATTATGTATTGCACTACGTCACAAAAATTCGTCTGCTGGATGGGAATGACTGTAGATAACAGACATACCTTGGTACCTCGTGTATTGGACCTAAAGAAAAGCGTTGCGAACAAATTAGAATTATTAAGACATTCTCGGTTTTTACCTAAAGATTTCCTACAAAAATTCTGCTTCAGTGTAATTTTTCCATTTATAATGTGTGGTCTTATCTTGTGGGGGACTTGTTGCAATTCCAATATTATTAGCTCAATGAATTGAGCGTCTCCACCGCAGGGCCTCCAGAATTATTTATAATTTACCGAAGGACATGGCAGCAAGTCATGCGCTGAACTTAACAAATTGGACCACAATCAGACTAAACTACAAATTGAAAATAATTAAACTATTTTTCAACGCAAATAATTATATCCTTCCACATGCCCTTGTAAGAGAATCTTTAGCAAGAGAGAAAGTTCTTACTCATTACCGGTCAGGACAATGCTTTCATTCTGAGATACAACAGAAGATTCATGAGAGACTCATTAGGCTTTCGAGGGTCAGCTCTTTGGAGTTTAGTTAATTGTAATGATAAAATAGATATGCCATATTTTAAGGAAATCAAAAGACTACTCACTACTAAGGATTATTTTGTAAACTTTCTCTTCGACGGCACAAGTGCGTCTGAGTACAACTCGATATAGAGATTGTAATTACGTATAACTTTTAGAAATTTAAGTTAATATTTTTCGTTGTCAGATAAATACTTTGTTTTTAGCTTTGTAATTTAGTATTTTTTGTATATATTGCATTAATGTATTCTAGTTAGTATGTAGTATACACAACCCCACAAGCTTTCTAGCTTTAACTTTTATCGTGTCAAAATAAAGGTTTTATGTTATGTTACGTTATGTTACACCTGCATAATTTATCCTGATATTTTGCACCTTCTGTCAGAAGACCTGATTTGTGAAGTAAAGCTTAAGCAGTTACTATCAGTGCTTGTTCTTATCAGGAGGTCTGTGTGGTTTGTTTTTAGATGCCAGCCATGGTAATTGCAGTGTCATTGCTGATTCTCTGTGCTGTAATCATAGTAGTTTCATTGGTATACCTTTACCGCCATGATCTTTATTGTAAGTGTTCACGGAAAACTCGGGCTCAGTGCGGCAATGTTCAGCAGGAGCCTGGTGAGGGAAGTCCATTACTATCAAGAAAGGAACTTGACAGGCAAGGATCACTTCGCACGTCACTAGTGTTGTTTACATATTTTTACACGTAGTTGTTGCTGTAAATGTTTTCCTTGGTCAAACTTTTAAATTTACAATCAAAGAGTTTCAGATGTGAAAAAAATTTGTTAACCGCGGTATCCAGTGCTCTGTTAAACTAGCTTCTGAATCAGATCATTAATTTATCTTGTAAAATTCCTTCCTGGTACGGTTATTCATTTCAGTTATGACTAATTAATAGGTAGTATTTGAGTCATATTTAGAATTGACTTTTTGTAATAATTTTTTCATATATGGGCTTTACAAGGTCAGCAAAAGGCGAGCCATTGTAAACACCCATACAGGTGTCCTTCTCATGTTTTTTTTAGTGCATACTGTAGCTGTAGAAGGGATGAGATCTTATCCTGAACATAATGTTGTTTGCAGGTGTTATCGGTGTTTGGAGATAGATAAATTAACCAGCAATCAGCGTGATACTTCTGCTTGTTGTCAGCCAAATGAATCTTCAAAATGTGAAGGTTGTGAGATTGATCAGCCTGCAATAGGAGTTGTAAACATTGAGGACATTGATGAGTCAACATGTCTCATAAAACGGAAGCAGTATCAATCCACAGATCCAACAGAAAGTCCTACTAGTGGTAAGTAATCTATTTTCTCTTTACAGTCTTACTGTAGGATACCCGCCAGCAGAGGCTACATTTTCGCGGTATGAGCTACTTTTCGCATGCCAGCTCTACGGACCGTATATCACTTTTGCGATCCGTACGGTCCGTACGGATCGACAAACCTTATGTGACCTCTCCAAGTCCCACTAATGAGATGCAGTTTACGGACGGTAAACGGCCCTTTAGTTTACGGACTGTATGCCATTTTTAAAACTTTACGGTCCGTACGGATCGTAACATGGATAATACGGACCATTACAGTGCGGGTGTATTGGACAACCCTCAATAAGCACACTGGCTTTGTTTAGTCTAGTCACGTCGGGGAACAACTTTTCTATGATCTCATAGACTGAGTTGGTCTATGGAATCATAATGGCTATTTGTAAGTTTGAGATGCGTAGTTTGTTCATGCTAATGTTCTGTTTTATTGCTGTGTATTTGGTCTAGCAAAATGTGAATATTGTTATCATGACCCACTTAATCAGCCATTCAAGAATGGGCTACTTCGTTATAGGAAATAAACGCGCGTGATAATTTTAAAAGGTACTTTAACTTAACAATATTAATTTTCTTCTTTTGCAGAAGTTGAGGCCATATTTGGAGGAAAAAGTGTGGAAATGGATCTGAAAGTAGACGAGTACTTAACAGGAGAGAAACACCAACTGGGCCGTCACGTGACTATGTTGGTTATAATGCTATTCACGATTATAGTTGTAAGTACATTAGCTGTTCAGCCTGCGAATACAGCTATCTCTCCTCGCTGCACTTTCCTCGCCCCTAGGGACGGCCCGGGAGAGATTCTGCAGAGATTTTACGTCATCAGTTTTGGATTTCTGTTGTTGAGGCGCAGGCTTCTTTCCCGCCACTGGCGAGCGACACGTCAGGCTCGGTACATGTCCTTAGCGGCGAGGAGCAAGGGCAGAAAATGTATTTGCAGGCTCGTAACTGTTCTGTGGGTATTTGAATGATTGATCGCTGATAAACCTAAACCAGCTTAAGCTTATTTTGTCACTTATGAATTTTGCATCAGATTTGGATTCATTGTAAAGAAAAATACAAAATATATGGATATATACTAATAGAAAATACATAGGTCTAATTAAAAGTGTCTACTAAACCCAAGCATATTCCTAATAGCGGTTTAGAGCAGTCAGTCAATCGAAGGTGTGTCGATTTGTATGTGCTAATCAGTGATCGTTTTTTATTAGGGTGTGTTTCTTGCATTATGGTGTCTTCTTAAGGAAGACGACAAGTCAGGAATCTTCATTGCGTTGCAAATAGCTGACGCCTTCTGTGTATATGGACAGGTAAACTTTTTAATTATAATCAACCTTAATGTTGAAAGAGTGCGATCACTTAGCCACACTGCAGTTTAGTCGATTCGCTAAATTATAAACGTAGAATCGACGATATGAATATTCCAGCTCAATTTGGTCCCAGAGGATTTTCTTGAAATTTTTCTCGGCGTGAGAGAGAGCGAGCGGTGAAGCGGCGAGGAGAGAATGAGGATGGAAACTGATTCTGTTTTGGCAAGATGTAGGAAATCGTTTGCTGTAACTGGTAACCTGAGCAGACAGAAAACCTGGCAAATGTCCCGCTTCTTGACCTCATCCTTGAATTGATCTCTTTAACGTATATCTTTTATTTCCTAAATGGTGCTAATTGAGTGGAGAGAGGAAAGGAAGAAGGTTGTAGTATTTGTGACGTTTATTACGGGTTGTTTTCTAAGCGCAGCAGTTGAACATGAAGACCATTAATCATACACTGTGACTACTGTCTGTTTTTCTTATTCTACAGGCTTTTGTTGTTTTTGCCTGCTTTGGTTTTGAGAAGCAACTCATCATCATTCCCTTCTTAACCAGGTAACATTCCGTGAAAATAATTCTTCCTTGCAAAATTATTTCTTACTGGAAAAAGAGTAAACTGAAGTTGGTTATATAGCTATTTTCCGCGTGTGTTGTTCTTCTTTCGGAGAGATAAGGGAAAAAGATCACTTTAAAAATCGCCACCCCGATTGGCCCACCTCAGATGGAAGGAGGGGACGGGGCTAACTCCAAATACATCATAAACTACTAGGACTAGTGCCTGTCATGTATTGACGAACGCGCGACAATCCCCGACACTTCCCATCTGACCGAATGGTTTTTTTTGTCATGGATTTTTCATACATCATCTTGTTTCATTTTGTGTTTGTTAGGTGGCGTAAATTTTGGTATGGTACTGAAGTCATCACTTTACCAAAAACTGCTGATCTTGATGCCGACGTTGTTACACTTTGCGATCAGTTTAAGCGCTACCACAAACAAAACTGTCAGCGGTCTGTTGTCAGTGACTTAAGGTATGTTTATACTTAATTCTTTAATAGTGCTCACTCCAGTGGACTTAATACATTTCACCCAGTGTTTTCTTGCCAGTGAACATTGCAATTTAAACACTGCAGCAAGAGTTTGTGGGCCGCTGGAAAATTGTCATTCTTTTGTTTATATAAATATCGTAAGATCTGGTAAGATCCTACGTCAATAGGGACAACTTACAGTTGCTGTTGATGACTATTTGTTTGGCTTGAAAGGCAACACTTGTGATTTCGTTTTTGCAGTATAGTGAAACTGTTACAAGTAATAAATAATAAAGTCTCCATTTTTTTATTAAACCGATGATTCTAACTGAGTCCGCTGTACCAAGCGCACGGCTATTAGGCCTGGTTTCGACACTATATCCCAATCACATGGCGCGCATGCTCAACAAAGATCTTACACGATTCATGTAGAGTCTTTCTCGAGTACACCAAAAGAAAGGCTCTACTGGCAGTGTGGCATCATCTGCGCATCAAGATATGGTCATCTTGAGTAACCCACGTGGTTCGTAATGGCTAACCGTAAGCATTGGTTTGACTCGGTGCTTCGAGAACAAATATGAGCACTGTAATGTTAAATCGGTTCGACTCACCATTCGCACAGTTTTGTTAAATGTTTGATGGTTTGGAGCAGCGTGCCTTCATTGTAGTAACACTAAGGAATCTGAGGTTTAACATATCATGCGACATTTTTTTATTGACGACAAAATAACAACATTTATATGCAGCGCATAATAAAAAATACGTAAATAAATGAATAATTAACAAAACTTATTACAGCCTTTACATGAAGCTCACGCGAAGCTTATACATACACAAAAAAGTGAATAAACAAATAAAAAAATAACAATAAGAACAAAAAGTATTAGAGAATAAAAGCGTGCCAGTTGTCACACATTTAATGTTGTTTGCCACAACTTTCAATGCGACATTGTTCCAAAAGCTTACGCAAGTATTTCTTTTGCAATAATACCAATAGACGAAGTCTGTTTATGGAAACTGGATTTGACATTTGCAATGTAAAGGAGTCTTCGAACGTGTTAAATAAATTTTGTTTGTTTGAAAGTTTAACGTTCTCCTTATGATAATCATTAAAGCACCCTAAATTTTTGGAAAAGAATTCATTTGACTGTTGACAATGTATAAAGGTTTGTACAATTGAATCTGGATTGAAGCAGAAAGGACACTTGTCATCAGAGGGCTATTTATATTTCAGTGGTTCTTTCTTGATCGTAATTATTCTGTGCATAACTTTAAAAGAACGTGTGATGCCAAAAAAAAATCTGGTAATAACGTGAACGCCTGAAAAAAGGAAGGATGAAAACAAACAAACAAAATATTTCTATATTTTGTTTGTTTGTTTTCATCCTTCCTTTTTTCACGCGTTCAACATAAACGCACTGGTATAAGGTTAGGCAATTTTATTACAGATTACGAAACCGTTTGATTTTGTTACAATTTAGCAAATGTCTAACATCCCTTTTCTTTTGTGAATTTGAAAAATGAACAATATGTTTCTTTTATCTTTTCTTTTATTTAGATACCGACTGCGCAAATACAAGTCTGTTTTTCGCGGTGATCGACTAGTGAACTGGTTACTAGAAGTTGGACTTGCCACTGACCGACAAGCTGCAGTGCATTACGGGAATTGTTTGATCCTTGGACGTGTGATATATCACGTGACCCAGGCTCATTTCTTTTATGATTCGCCGTACTTGTATCAGTTCCGTGAAAAAAGTAGTTCACTCCAAGATGAGGTGAAAATGGAGCGTCAAAACGATGTGAACTGTCCATGACAAGCTAGCCCAGCGTAAACTCGTAGAACCGCAACCGGTACCTCGGCTATCACTTCGGTCGTTGAAAGTCAGTTGAAAAAAGTCCTGTTATCTGAACAATCGTGAAATTGTGAATTTCACTAGAATTAGCCTAGAACTAAAATCTGTCGAAGCAATGAAGAGTGCTGATTTCCTGAAAGAGGTTTTGGCATATATCGCTACTATCGCAGCGGTCGCAGCTTTCAGGGCGATCATGTAAAACTCGTGGGGGATGGGGGTCCTAAACGGAAATTTGGGCACGGGGTGGGTACGCCGTCGAGACTTGGATTTTCAAAAAGAAAAATATTGTTGATACCACACATGTAGTTCAAGGATTCCTTTCCAAAAAGTTGAGAGAGACGTGAGACACCCTTTCCACAAGCGAAAAAATGGAATTGCTTACCCTGTTTAGGACTCAGGATCTCGAAAACCATACATACCCTTTTCGGACGGCACATACCTGTTCAGGCCAAAGAAGAGACTCTCCCCTCTCCCTGAATGGAAACCAACCTTAATCCAATACGACTTAGCGTGGCGCTTGATTTTGCCAGGGAATACTTCAACTTGTTTCTTTCTCACACATTTAAAGATATCTCATACAGTTGCTACGAAAGCTGAAAGTTTTCTTCATTGATATGTTCTGTTAATAACTTTACTGACCTTCTGGGTGACTCATACTAAAACATTCTACAATTGGTAGAGGATTTAATGTGGTCGAAACCAATTGTGGAATTGCACATATTTTAGGAATCCCACTGATGAACGTTTACTACACTAAAGTGAAGTTACACGAGAGGATTCGCAACGATGATTTTTAGCGGAACACATCGTTGCTTTATTGTTGCGACATTGTTTCGAATAGTTATAACATTGTTTCCAATATTGCGACGCTGTATTGTGTTAAAAATCGTCGTTGCGAATCGTCTCGTGCAACATAACCTTTCGACTGATATTTGCAGGAGCAACAATCGGGCAGTTTTGGTTTCTGGAAAATTGCTCACCTTGCCCTTCACTAAGCCAACATTTTACCCTAAGTGAGAAGTAAGTATTGAGTTGGGGAAGGGGTAGCTGGGCAGTTTCCCAGAAACTTAAAATGATCCACAGTTACGTTTAATGTGGTAAGAACATAGTGTGTATGACCACTGGTGAAAAACCACAGACAAATTAAGGCTGGTCGATCGATAGCACTGCAAAAGAAAAAAAAAACGGTCCAGCGATCTGAACGTTTGATGCGATCATAGGAAAACCAGTCTTGAAATAGGAATGATGGAAGCTTTCGCAACAAAATTAGACAATCGAAGTGGTTGTAGTATTGTAGCGATCATACGAGATATCTTTGGATGTGAGTCGAAGTGAAAAGTTGGAGGTATTTAAATCAAACCGACCACACATACATGAAAATGGTAGTGTGTTAAGAGAACTGAGAATATATTATCACAGCAAAGAAAATGAACAGTTGAATTTGTGAATTTCTTTACAAAAATTATTGCCTTAAATTTATATTGCAGTTTATAAATTATTATAATTTATTTAAATGGTTTTTTAAAAGTCTTTCAATACAAAATTCAATAAAATAAATGAATAAATGGCTGTGTGTTAACCATCATATCCAGGGAAGTTCTGATAAACAATTTGCGACAATTCAGCTTTTTGTTCATGGCATTCCTTTCATTTGTGGGAAATGGACCGACAAATGGTGATTTTTAGGACCTAGTTATAACTGAGTTTACTCTAAATCGTTGAACTAATTTATTTTTAGTGGCGTTGAAACGTTGCAAGGGACTTGTCAGAAATTAGCAGGGGGGGAGGGGGGTGGAAACAGAGGGAGGGTCACAACTTTTTGACACTGCAGAGAAGGGAGGGGTCATGAAAAATGGGCTGTTAAAAGGGGGAGGGTCATGCGAATATTTGTCCGTGATCATGTAGAGGTTCACCCACAGAAGAAAAAAGAAGTTCTTTATTTTGTAAAAAAAAAACTGGGAGAAATAGGAGAGTCGAGTGATCAGCTGTCATAATCAGAGTCGGACTCTTAATGCTGTCATCTAAAATGTATGTATTGGCATTACAAAGAACATTAGAAATATATTTTCAGCTTTCATAATACTGACTCACCCTAGTGTATTGCAAGAACTAGATTTTACCATTTATACAAGAGGGGGAGGGTCATGATATTTTAGGCCAAGGCCAAGGGGAGGGTTAGCAAATTTCACTCCCATTGCAGGGATGGGGCACCTCATTTCCGAACCCAAATTTAAAATTCCCACCCCCCCTCCCCCCTGCTAATTTCTGACAAGTCCCTAAGCCCATGAAAGTAGTAATATATACGTCTTTTTTGCTTAGCAGGGTACTTTTAATGTAGGAAATAATGTTTGAAGCTCCACGGCCCCGGATATGGACCAAGAAAACTGCGAGTCTAATAAAATTTATAGTGCCAGAAAAATATTCTCCAAGGTTTAAATTAAGATTTTTCTGTGTCGTATTAGCTTTGTTTCATCATAGAACTAACTTTTATTTTGCATGTAAATGTGTGTATGACATGCATAATTCATTATATTTATTTTTTTTATTTTCTCATGATTATAAATTTTGTACGTCAATTCTAATAAAAACTGACAAAATAAAAACGCTGACAAGTTGTTTATTATTCGGTTTTTCCCCTCTGTGGAACGAGGAATAAGCGGCAAAGGATTGTAAAGGCCTTAAAGGCAAGCAAAGTTCTACAACTGAAATTTGTTTTGATTGTTTTTCTATGGAGATAGACGAAGTGGCGACAGAATTGAGCAAAAACATGACAAAACGGAAAGCTATGGGTCAGCTATTCTCCCTTCGGTCCTGGGAAAACGAATTGACCAATCACGGAACGAAAAATGACTAAGCCATATACAAGAAACATGCGACTCGTTCTGGATGGCCACAAGTTTTATTCAAGATAGCTTCTTGTCTACTGTATAAACAAATTTAAAGGCTAAATGTTTTCAAGCTGAGCCTGTCCACAGACGTTACTTTTGTGTTTGAGGTCAAAACTTCCCAGCTGTGTAGCCTGTGTACAGCCGCCCCTTACCTCAAAAAAAAATCGGAAAGATTTTTGAGGTAAGGGGCGGCTGTACACAGCCTACAGCCGTGGAGCTTTGGTCGTTGTTTTAAACGGGAGTCTGGACCCGATTGTTACGCAATATACAATATGGCGTAAAAGTTAGCACACGCTGAACACGCGGTTTGGGTTGCTGGATGGATGTTTGTCAAAGCTGAATTCATTTTGCACCAATTTTGTGGCTCTTCCCGTGAAATTCTCTGCGGATATGAACAGAGCAGAGATGATTGTAACGTTGAGCAAATGGAAATGGCCAGTGATGGGTGTTACAGCTGCCTTCGTGGGCTCCATGTACACATTTGGTTTCAACAGAAACCTCAAACTTCAAGCAAGCACTGGAAATGAAGATGCCTCCGGCTCTCTTGGATTACGAGACCTTTTGCAAAAACTTATTCACAGCTTTGTTCAGGGTCCCAAAGGCCAAGAGAAACCTCCTCTAAGTCCGAAAGAGGCAAGCGAGATCTTGAGAAGGAATGAAAGAAGAACGGATGTGAATATTGGAAGAGTGTCTTACTATGAAAGTAATAATTTTGCCTCGAATAGTCCTTCTGAAGATCGGAACAATGAGTGGCTTTTTCTGAGAACAAACGGAGTGGCTTTCGGTGTGTTTGATGGACACGGTGGCTGGCAATGCGCTGAAGTGATAAAACACCGTTTACCCTTCTACATCGCCTTAACCCTCCTATCAAAGGTGGATTTGAACCTCTTGGAGCGGGATCATTTAAAATCTTTAACAGTTGACAACTTTGTGTCAAGTTTTCAGCAGGGCAAATCTCAAACGGGAGAAAGTAACTCCAAAGTGGGTTATACGTTAAGTCAGAAACAAGAAGTTTTTCACACTGGACCCAAATATCTGGTAAAGAATTTACTCGAGAAACCTTTTGAAGATAGAATGCCTATTGGTGAATCCCTCAGTTTGGCTTTTACGCAGTTAGATGATGACATCGCAACAGAAGCGATACCAGTGAGAGTTCTTGATGAATCTTTCGCCACTGGGGTCTCAGGTGCTTGTGCTATAGTGTCCTACGTTGAGGACCGTAATCTTTATGTTTCCAATACAGGTAACGTAAAAAATCATACTTGAGCTGACTCTGGAAGGCTTACTTTAATATACAAAAATATACATGTAAGAAATCACTCGACAAACTGGTGAAAAACACTTTAAAGATCTTTAAAAATTAGATGTTTGTTTGTTCATGATGCAATGCAGTAGTTCAAAGGTTTTTTACTGAAACGTCATTAATAATTTATGGTAACAACACAGCACGAAGTTTGATTGACCTCTATCACACTCTTAGCACCTGGAGAGCCATGGTTGGATGACGACGAAATAAAAGTGTTTCTGAAGTTATGAATTTTATGAAAATCATCTATGAGAACTGCGGGGTGAAGAATTAAATGAAAGAAGATTATCGCAGTTGTAAAACGCAACTTTTGCAGTTGTGAAAAAAAAGCCTGAAAAAATTCAGGCTTGTACGGGATTCAAACTATTGACCTCTCTGATACCGTTGCAGCGCTCTAGCTACCAATTGAGCTAACTGGGAGCAGGTCGTTGAATTGTTTGGTGTTAAACCCGTGGAAGGTTGATGATGAAGTTGTGAATATTTAGCAATTATTGAATGAGGCTGAGTAGGATATAAAGAATTCTGCAGATCAAGGAGGGTGTTTTCCACTGAGGCCGAAGGCGGAGGTGGACAACACCCTCTGAGATCTGCAGAATTCTTCATATCTTGCAATAGCTAAATTCAATAATTGCTTTATTATTCATTCAAAATAATTCCAACGTTAAAAACAAGCTAAAAATGATTACCTTGGTCGATGTTAAGTTCACATCGATAGTGCATCTTTTTCGGGAAATTTAGTAGATAAAGGTCTGCTCAGGTCTGCAAATATTCTCCAACAGCAGATGTTGTCCGTCAAGTTGCTATGTTGTTAGATAATATTTCGCCATGAAACGAGTACAATGTCCTTCCGACAGTTCCGCCGTTTTGTTCAAACAACCAAAACAACTCAACCTCGTCCCCAGGTTTCCTCGGGCAACGGTTCAATACGACAAATTATTGAACCGATGACGTCATTTTGACATCATCGGTTCAATATGACAGTTCAGCCACTGGTGATGGTGAATTATGCGTGTGGTTTTACCCAATCAGAAACGGGAAATATTTTGAATGAATAATAAGTATAATTCTTCATCCCGCAGTTGTCATATATGATTTTCATGTATTCATAACTTCATCATCATCCTTTCACTGGTTAATAATATGAAACAATTCAACGACCTGCTCCTAGTTGGCTTGTTAGCTAGAATATTGGTAGAACGCTGCACAGTATTGTAGAGGTCAAGAGTTTAAATCCCATACAAGTCTGACTTTTTTCAGGCTTTCTTTTCGCAACTACAAAAGTTGCCTTAATATCTGCGATGATTTTCTTTCATATAAAAGTTTTTGTACAACTGATACAAATGCTGAGTGCCCCAAGTTTCATAGATTCCAGACAAATGCTCTTTAGGCACAGCCTTGCACGATGATTGTTGGTAACACGATACAGTGAAACCTCGATAGATAACGGGAGTGCATGGTATAATGAACAACATTATTTTTTTGCACCAGCAACAGTAAAATATGAGGAAAAGAACCTTTTTGTAGTAAAGCCTTATTGTAGCAAATGTATTTTGCCAGTTCCTTGGCCCTTTGTTATATTGATGTTCTACTGTACCATGTTGTGAGTAACTGAATCTTTTGGGGTTGTTTCAGGTGATTGTAGAGCAGTCTTGGGAAGCTTAAAGGAAGATGGTTCTTGGGTGGCCACTCCACTGTCAATTGATCAAACTGCAGCTAATCCAGAAGAAGCGACTAGACTTTATTCAGAACATCCTGGGGAGGAGGGTTTTGTCATCAAGAATGGTCGTCTGTTAGGACAGTTGCAGCCTTTGCGATCTTTTGGTGACATTCAATATAAATGGGATAAAGTAACACATTCCCATGTATTGACACAGGTATACGGTGGCCCAATAGTGCCACCAAGTATGTACAGATCACCGCCTTATCTCACTGCAAAGCCTGTGGTTACTCGGCACCATCTACAACCCCATGACAAATTTCTAATACTTGCAAGTGATGGCTTGTGGGACATGCTTAGCAGTGAACAAGCAGTTGGATTAGTGGCTGATTTACTAAAGCAAAAAAGTGAAAACAGATTATCCAAGCCTGCTGATGATACTTCTCCAGGGCAGGGTGTACTGTTGGAACAAAATGCTGCTACTCATCTGATCCGACATGCCTTGGGTGGTAATGACCATAGCTTTGTGGCCCAAATGCTGTTGGTTCCAGAACAGTATCGACGTATGTGGCGAGATGACATCACTGTGACTGTAGTGTTTTTCAATTCAAATACCTTTTTGTCCAAGCTTTAAACAAATTTAAACTACTGTCCCAATAGTTATTACAATTGAACCTGCAGCCAAATATGATTTTGTTCAAAAACATGCATACAAATAAGATTAACCTCATTTCCATGTCAAAAGCTATAAATAACATTTATAGATCTAGAGGATACTACATTGCTGTCCAGAGATATGAAATTTCTCTTCAAGTGTTGAAAAATACGCGAACGAGTGAAATATTTTTCAACACAAGAAGAGAAATTTTGTATCTCCAAGCAGCCATGTAATGTTCTGTTCATTATATTATTAAATACCAGTGAAATGGCAAAAAAATATTTAAGTGAAATGCTTTGGCGCAAAAGCTGTGATTTATCATGTAGCCATAGCAGTGGTGATCTTTTCACATGTGAAAATAACTTGTTATTTTCACGTGTGAAGATATCATGTTTTTGTGCGAAAGCTTGCCTGGTATTTCATTGGTGTTTATTAAAATATTAAACCTTGTATTTTAGGATAATAGGGAGAGCGCATGATCTCAGGCTAATGCACCCCTTCAATAATTTGTTATTGAGGAGGAAAGCCAGAAGTCAACTATCAAAGCAAATAGAAATTAGGATTGAGCCTTCTTGTTCCTCAGTAAAAATCTGCTAGTATTCTGTTGCAGACAATTTTCTGGGCATCTTTATAAATTATTGGTGAAAAAACTCTTTTCCGTGCCAGCTATACGCAACTATTAGCTGATAGATAGCAAGAAAGTCAACCAATCAGAATGCAGGATTTGCATTAGACTACTAATAGAATTTGCTGGACAGGTGCACTGGAAAATCTTCTATAGTGACTAAGAAAATCAAAGATTGCTGTGAGAATGAAAGTATAAGCTCTTTATTTTTCATACCACTGAAGGATGCATTTGCACTTTAGGCCAAATTACAGAATATGCTCTTAACAAATATGATTGATGGTATTAAACTCTGTTTCACAGCATGCATTACCCAGCTGAAGGGTTGGGAAATGTAAGGTTATCTCTTTTAAGTACTAATAGCTGGAATAGCAATAAAATAGATAGGCATTTGGTTTGATTGTAGAGCAGCAAATTTTTAATCCAATGAAAGTTAGGAACTTAAAATCAGTCATCTTTATCCAAAGCTGCAAAAATTTCTAACCAGTTGTCCAAAGTAAGGACCTTTTCTAAGTAAGAGAGGAGTGGACTTAATGGAATATTGTTCATTTCAGTGATGTCAACAAAAAATAAAATTCAATGGATTATGGATGAGAAATTTAGGTTCAGTATCAGCTGCATGTAGCACAATAACTTGGCCTGCCAAATCATTTGCTTAACAGTTTACAACATTTCAGGCATTTAATATAGATGATTAAGAATAGTCAGATAGTTTTTTTAGACTGTAATGTCAGAAAAAATGAACAGTACTTGAAGGACTCTTCTTTTAAAAATTTGTTTAGTTGCCTTGCAACACTGTAAACTCTTCCACATGCTTAATAAATTGTCTTGATGCTACTGCAAAGCATATCCATTCCAAGAGCCATCAACTGCAGACTCTTCACCCTTTGCTATCTGGCTAATAATATTACGATTACTGTACCCAACACCAATGCATGTCCTGAAAGCCTCAATGTTATATGCATGGATGATGCTGTTGAACAGTATGTATTCTGTCATCATAAGGAACAGGTGATCCAAGTACACTGACTGTAATTTCTGGGCGGATTTATGAAACCCAAAGAGAACATACAAACTGTAGCACAGCAATGTTAAATTATTGTTCCCACAGTGAATCTATTCTCTGTGAAATCCTTGTCCAAAGCCACTTTAATTTAAAGCCCTCACATTGTAGAATCTTCAATGTATTTTGACCATCAAGTGGTTGACAACATTTCCATCATGATCGATTGGTGTTCAATGATTGCTGCTTTATAATACCCAATATTATAGCAGTAAACCAATGAATGCCAGGGAATGCATTTCAATTATGATGCAAGCCAACTTAAGTTAAAGTAGTTGCTCAAGACACATCACCAGTACTTTCTTTGGAATTTGATTGCACGAGTGGCAGTGTGTTTTCATGGCTAGATGTGGAATTAGCCAGCACAAGCTGATGAGCACACCAGATTATTGTACGAGTGGCACGAGTGTGAAGAGTCAGTGCCTTCACACCTGATATTAAAGCTGACAACTCTGGCAAAAAAAAGAATAAAATTGATCAGACCATACACTAAGTTAAGTCCGTACTTGCATGGTTTCCTTAGGTGTTGAAGTGATTATTAGGTGGAAGCCCCTTTACACAGGGCATTCGTATGTTGCCCACTGTAAAATCCTAGTTAAAGGACTCCAATATCTACAGTTATATTCCAGGTTGTCATTAGTGGCTGGCAGCTGGGTTTTTTAGCCGGCTATTGCAGTGAATCAGCCAGGTACTCTAAGTTTGAAAATGAGTCAAATATAACAATATAGGAGGGCTTGTGGGATAATTGACCAGCTAGTTTCCTAAAGAGACCAGCTACTTAAAACATTAATGACAGCCCTCTTTACTGATAAAATATAAGAAGTGTCGCTATCAGTTTTTTTTTGAGGCATTTGTTTTATTCTGCTTGTAAGGTGCCCAAGTATAAGCCCACCACGAACCCGTTATGAGATTGTACAGTTGACTCTCTGTTAATGGACACCTCTATAAGATGGACACTGCGGTAAAATGGACAGCTAGAGTTGATCCCTGCAGTCTTTACCTACTCCATTTATTTTGGCTCTCTATTAAGATGGACATCTTTCTAAAACAGACACTTGGTGAGCTGGTCTCAAAGGTGTCCATCTACGAGAAAGTTGACTGTATAAGCTCAGGGCTTCTAACCAAGATATTATAATACAATTTGACAGTTTAAGGTACCGCTGTCAAATGACCAGGGTTCATACACATTTTTGGATCCAAAATTCAAGACTTTTTCCAGACTTTTTTCCAAAACAACAATGTCTTTTTCCAGAATAGGTGATCAATACAGACCTTAAAAACTGCATGAACAAAGTTTTTTCAAGATGCACTGCAAACGTAAGGGCAAGATTGAATAAGATCTGACCAAAACAAAAAAAATCTCACTTATAAGGCACATGTTATTGCTTTGCATAAAAAAAAATCAAGACTTTTTACCATTTTTCCAGACTTTATATCCATTTTCCAGACTTTTTCCAGGTCTGGAAAATTGTTGGGCAAATTTCAAGACTTTTTCAAGAATTTAAGACTCTGTACGAACCCTGAATAACTAACTGTAAGTTTTTGTATGAAGCCTTTGTTGAATGTGTGTTAATGATTACCTGTAGTGTCCTGATGTCTAATACCAGAGTTTAGTCTGCTTCTTGAATTGTTACTACTTAAAAGCTCTTCCTTACGGCGATTCTGAACTTCACGTATTCCATTTTGCCACTGATCTACTCCCTCACTAATGCTAACGTGAAGTGGGGAGTGCCGAATGCGTTCTATACGTCCCACTAATGCCTCAACCTAATAATAACATAAAATGCCAAAAAAATATTCAAAGTAGCCTACTAACGCAGATAGCCTAGGGACAAAGCTTTCTGCCTTTAATGTCACTGCTTGAAACACTGCAAATAATTTGCGAGCCTGCTCACAAGAAGAAAGCAAATCCGCATTAACAATCCTATTCCCAATAACCGCTATCTTTGCATGCGCTTAGGGACTGATGGGATAAAAACAATGACTTTTGTCACAGTTTCTCAGGGGACGAACAAGTGATTAAATCTGCCACTACAATAAATCACAGTCAAATTTCTTTATTCTAGACAACAGAAAATGAGGAACTTCTTATCTTAAAGATGATAATGGCAATTTATGGGTGGAAGTGATCCCTGTTATTTTTTTTTACATGCAGTAGTGACCCCAGATGTCCTTACAGTAAGCAATAATGATGCAAAACTTCTCAAAACTCAAACCATACATCTTGCAAAAGCAGACTGTTGTATCGCTTAAGGAATAAACAAACTTAACGGTCATTATTTGTATTGGTAAATTTTATCACTTTTTTGCCCCCTGAAATACAAAATGACATTGCTTTTATCCCATCAGTCCTTGCATGCATGCAAAGATGATGGGTTTCATGTTCTATTTAATCATTTACTGAATTAATCATTAGTTTATTGACTTAATACTAGTGTTTAGTGTGACCACTACTACTTTATTATAATTCATGACTCATTAACAACAGATCATATAAAGAAAATCCAGAGGTTTCATGGATGTTAAAAACTTTTCAACGTTAAAAGGAAGCACCTGCACACTGACACAGCCAAAAATTTAACAATCACTGCAGTACCTTTCCAAGGAAAAATGGGAGACATGGTAGTTTACTGAGAGGATAAGGTGTTACACAAATACGCTCCCTAGAAAAAATTCGTATGTGTAATCAAATGGTGATGAGTGAAATTAGGGAATAATTTCACGCACGTTCTGTCCAAATCCTAATAATTTCCCGAGCCTTTAGGCGAGGTTAATTATTAGGATTTGGACAAAACGTAAGTGAAATTATTCCCTAATTTCACGAGTATACCATTTGATTACCTATTAATATCATCGGTGACGAATTACGTTAGCAATCTCGGATTTTTGACATGTTTATCCTGGATTGTATCGATCGAGAACTCCACTCTCTCAAATGTTTAGACCTTAAATTTGGCTTATAAAGTTCAGAATTTTTCAGACTTTTTCGGCAAAATACCTGTTAGAATCCTTCTTGATGTTCTCTTGTGTGTTCAGGTTTTCTAAAGCGTCTTTTTGTGCCCTGACATCTTCATTCAAGGCATTTTAAAACTTCGTCGCCATCTTGACACTGAGACGTACGGAGGGGTTGCCATGGCAATAAATGCTGAAATTTCATGCCAAAATTAAGGAGTAATTCGTCACCTATGATATTATAACGATAATTAATCTGTAGAGAAGTTGGACTGGTACAGTTACCTTGGCGTGTTCCCGTAAGTGCTCTACAATAAGCTTGTCTACTCTGGATGGATTTGGAGGAGGTCTTACATTGGATGCATTTCCAGAGGAGAGCCTTCGACCTGACCAAAGGTGTGAAATTTCTGCCTCTGTCTGAAAACAATATGTAAGCCCAAGCTTATTCAATTGCTTATAATAAAGTTTATTGAAATATTTTTTAAGGGTTGTCATAGGTACATGTCACCAGCAGCCAGCTTTTTTAGCCAGGAACTGCCGTAAAACCAGCAGGCTACTTTACTAACACAGGAGGATTTCTCAAATTAATAACAGCAGCACTTTCCTTGAGAGATTAGCTAGGAAAAACCTTAATGACAGCCCTGTTTTACAACACTAAACATCTGTAAAGCATGGAACATTCATTAAAACTGCACAAACCTTCATTCCATGGGATTCGAAATTATTTCAAAAGAAATTTCAACTTGTAGCTTGATGTTTCATTGTAGAAATAACTCTCTGAAACTACATGTCAGTATGACACCTGTATGAAACCTTTTATGAAAATATGAAAATGAATAGCTGGCTTGTATACCTCAAACCATTATCAGTTAGCTATCATGTATTTACAAGTCTCCAGTACCTTCTTTCTCTCTTTCTCTAAACATCTAAGCTGTTCATAACATTCTTCAAGCCTATAATGCAGTTCACTAGTGAGTGGACTCTTTGTACGCTGTAAAATGGCATGACCTGAATATCCATTGTCCCTTGTAAAAGGTTGACCATCCCTTACAAAATGGTTTGCAGAAGAGTGTTCTTGAGCAGACCCATTTTTGTACCATACCCCTCCATTCAAGTCATGATTTAAACCAATATACTTGGGAGCTGAGTGACTATGAAGTGGTGGTGAGGAAGGGGACATGCTTGGTGAGCTGCAGTAATGATTACCAGCTGTAAATGTCAGGGACTGTGGACGTGTCTTTGGAGAAGCAACAAAATGTGTACGTCCAGGAGCTGAGCTTGGAGATGACTGAGAATGACGGGATGAGCCATTGCTTGAATAATACCCTGATTCTGATGAATTACGTCCCTTACTTCCCATGGATGTATCTTTAATAGGCATAAACATAGAATGGGATGATGCATCTTGTGATCCAAAGTGTTGTCCAGTTGGGGATGGATAAGGCGAAAGCTCATCATTAAAGCCGTTCACTGTAGGTGATGCACTACCTGATGAATTAGTTAGAGAACTTGTAGGTACCAAAGGAGTTACAGGGAAAGAGGGACTGGTGCCAAGTGAAGAATTTGTCAGGCTGGAAGGGGGGGACATGTCAAGGGGTGACAGGGGAGGTGTGGTACGTGAATTGGCCTCAGCTGACCAGATTGTCTGTCCAGGGAAAGAGCCAAAGCTACCTGTGCCTGCACTTCCTCCACTGTTTGTTGAAGCATTGCAAATTGAAACACAACCATTAGGTACAACTGAAAGCGGCCACGAATGAGATGTACCATCAAAACTGCAAACAAAAATAAACAAAATAAAGTCACGAGGTACAGATACACAAATCTGTCACTGATTTTATCTAAGCTGACATATTCATTGGCCTCTGTCAAAAGATTCTAATACCGTAAAGTTCCGTAAATAAGCTCTGGGGCTTATATTTTTTCAAAGGCCCTTTTTGAGGAGCTTATTTTTGGAGGGGCTAATATTTGGAGGGGCTTATCTATGGAGGGAAATTTGCATTTCAAAATTGATTGGGCTAGCCTTAAAGTTGGAAGGAAATTTACCGTTTTTGCTCAGGTCAATAACACATGTGCTCTAAGGAAAATTGAAAGGAGCCCAGCGCTTTAAACCTGTAACATCTAGGGTGCCCAGCATAATGATTTGTATAAAAAACTAAGATTTTCTAGAGTTGGGTGCCAGGGGCCACCGGGCTCTGCTAGAGCACAGCCCTATATTATTATACAGTACGTAAATGCAAATTTTCTTTATTAAGCCATATTTTTTTATCGCTCCTTTCACACACAAACATATTTAAACACTAGTCTGAAGCCTACTCAATCCAAAATTCTATTAATTCCAGCCATCCCACTCAAATGGCCCTGAAAAAGAGTGTCTATTTCAAACAACTGTGTAGCAATTTTGTAGTTCATGAACTTACCCATCATGATTAAATGAGAAAGGTTCTAAACCAGGAGTTGTTTCTTCAACACTTGGGAAGTTAAAGACACTTTCATCCTCAAGGACTTTAGAAACAAGATGAAATGCTATGTGATTGTTAGACTGAGGAGTTGTAGGAGTTCTTGGTTCATCTTGAGGTGCTGCACTGTTATGAAGATGATCTGTGCCATTTGGAGCACTTATAAATGGTTGTGATGCTGGTTGAATAAGCTGCCCTACTTTTTGTCTTGGAATATTTCTGCCCAGTGCAAATACCTTGGAAAGCAAACAGAAAAACAATTATGCAATTTACAACTTACTAGCTTCAGAGCACAGTCCACAGGTTTCAACTTAAAACATAATTTAAAGGAGAGAGACTGCAAATAATACTTTTGTTCAGGGCTATCAGTAGGATATATTTTCAAGTACCTGGGTATACACAATAAGTAAGTAGGGAATTAAACAGCTAGCAACTTCTTTTGGTTGTATTTTCCATTTTGTTTTCCTATGATAGTAGATCCCCAGCCCCCAGCCCTTTGTGGCATCCCCCATTAATTGCTGTTGCTGAAAATATTTAAATTTCATGAATATATGTAATGTTCAATAGTATTATGTATTAAATGTGTGCAATTCCAAAATATTGCTGGTTTCAGCTCCATTAAATGGCACTTGTTTCATTCAACTACTCAAAACAGTTTTGGGCTGAAATTTACAAGTTAGTAAATTACACTAAATTACACTAAATTATATAAATTCCATTATTATTATTATTATTATTATTATTATTATTATTATTATCATTATTATCTTTCCATCATTATAAACCTGGACTACAGTTGGCCAGCTCCAGTTTTCACCTTCAGTGAGAAGTGCCTTGAAATGCACGCAGGCAAATGCTTAATAGTGCTGGAAATACTTTTTCTTACTTAAAAGAACATGTGTCCTTTCAAACCTTTATTTTGAAAGGACATATTTGAAAATTGGTCTGTCATTAATTAGCATACCATATTTACTCAAATAAGTGCCACGGCACTTATAAAATTTTTTACGCCTCAAATGCAGCACTTATTTGAGGATGGCATTTATTTGAAAGTTGGATGTGAAAAAGAATTGATGCAGGCGAGGAAGGAGCACACCACACATTCTTGGTCAGCGGCACTCTTTTAATGGTATAGCGAGATCTGTTCACACTCCAGTGTTGAACTGACTAATATGCATGGAATGAATGGTATGTGGAATTGAAGGCCCTGGTGTCAGGGCTCAAAGTTTAAATTTGAGTTTGGGAGCACTTGTGTTACCAGATGTAAATTTTTAGGCGCTGAAAATTTTAGGAGCACAGTTTAAAATGTGAGCATGAGCATCTATTTCAAAAGAAAAAGTGAAAACCTTATTAACAGTGCCACATTTATTTGTCATCTTCAGTTTGTTACTTTTACTTCAGTCCTGTGATTGATAAAACACAGCTGATTTGCTACGCAGTAATACGGTAGTGATTTTTAATACTAATTTCTCTTTTTGACAGTACAGCTGTGACTAAAGAAAACTTACGCTTGAAAAAAAATTCAAAACTGACAACAACGAGTGTGTCAAACGAGAATGAAAGTTAATCTTTTAATGAATTTGTTAAATGCACAATGACTTACATGTACCTGGGATATGACTTAAAAACTTTCTTACCTGGAAAAAAAGGCTGTTAATCCGCACTGTTTTTGTTTTGATTGACCTTAAAACTGATCGTTCGACATGATCGTCCATTGCGCAAAAAGCACGTGTTTCGTGCGTAGCATATAAATTATTTCCACGTGTCAGCGGTACTTATTACAAAACAGAAGAGTCTGGGATGGAGTAAAACATCGAAACGAAAAAGAACATTCAAGTTCATGGAATCCATTGAGAGAAAAGACCAATTATACATACACCATCTTATCTGGTTCGAGTTCATAAGTATAGTGGGAAGTCAGTTGCACTGTGCTTTGGGTTTTACGGCACACAGGTGCGATTACATATGAATATTTAGGCGCACAACCAAAAATCCAGTGGCATATGCGACCAGTTAGTCGTTAACTTTGAGCCCTGGGTGTTGACTTCAAGGTCCGTCTGATGTCACAGTAATCATGTGAATGCCCATGCAAGTGATGCAACAATCATTATTAATACACATCTGATTCTGAAGCACACGTAATTCAGGTACACAAGTACTGCACTAAATGGGCAACTTTTCAATTCGCCTTGCCGGCCTGGAATCTATTTACCCAGGACGATAAAAGTAGAGCCTGATTTCAGCTTAGTGCGGGACAAGTTTTCAATAAGAAATGAGTGCTAGCAAAGTCTAGAAATCGATGTAAATTATTAAGTTTATTCAGGTTTCACTACAGTGCATGGTTTTTCAGGGTTTTATATTTTTATAAGTTTTCAAGCATGTTATGTCGCCTGCACCCGAAAGCTTTAATAAGCTTTGAACTCCAGTGGTAATTTAAGCTGTTTCATTATTTTGTATCATATATCAATGGCCTTTCGTCATTGAACATGGATTGAATATTCGATTGAACAACAAGACTTCATGCATGACTAGACTGCATACCTGCATTACTTGAGTCACACATTACTGTTTCAATGTATCTTTGCTGGCGAATGAAATACAAATGTCTTTTCTCACTCCTTATATTACTATATTTGCAGGCTAATTGTATCTAAGCAACTGCAAATAAAATTGTTTAATTAAATAATAATTATATGAGTCCTGTTTACTGTGTTGTTCAATCCAGTTTTCATGACCTGCAGTAAAAGGAATTCACCTACAAATGAAAGCAGTTTCGCTTGCACTTCCTAGACACCGGCTATGGCTAGTTTTAACTACGACATTGTTATTTGCCATTTTAACTAATGGCATTAACGTCTTTTGATTTCAGGACTTGAAGTTAACTTTTTAGTGCTCTAGCAAAGTTTTGCGAGTAAGATTTTTTTTCACTAGCAAACTGGTGAGACCACTAGCAAACTCTTTCGCTTTGAATTCAAAACAAATTATCAGCAAAAATCTATATCTTGAGACCACTGGAAACTCATTTGTAAATGGACGAGGAATTAAGTTACTCTTTGCAATATTAAACACTACCAATTATTGTCACTTATTGAAGATGTTTTGTCCTTCGAAAATTCCCAACACATTTTACACCATATTTCTTCCACAAGTTCATTGGTTCTTCAACTACATTGTAACTGAGATTGATGGCGAAATTCTTCTGCCATTGCAGAACTATTTTCAGATAAGCTGAGTTATCTCTGTTGGATCCCGACTTCAAACTCTTGTTCTTGGGTGCTTGAGGTCTTCATCACCACTGGCACTCGTGTTAAAGGTCGGGGGCCCTGAGGGCCTCTTAAAGAAAGAAGTTATTTTTGACATATGTAATGAAAGCGATAGCTCCAAAAACATGAGGAACAACAACGCCACACGAAATGTAGCACAGAGCCTCGATGCAATGGCGCTGGCCTGTGGCTAACAAAAAGCGTGCTCTTCTCAGCTCAGTGTCCACTGTTTTATTTGCCTTAGGTGTTGTCCGTACATTCCTTCTTGCGTTCAAACAGCTTTCTCCAAATGTTTGGGAGACATGGATGATTCTAACTCGTGAAAGTTTGCTGGTGGATATTTTTCTCACTCGCAGATTATCAAAATCACTCACATTTTGCGAGTTTGCAAGCATTAATCTCAAGCCTTGGATTATAATGGGGCCGTGGTGCCAAGTGGCAGTGTTTTTTCCCCAAACGTGGGCTTATTCACGCTTTTCAACCTGTTTTTGATGGTGCGTGACAAGAAAACCCAAGCAATGATTCTGGCTCACCCCTTTCAAGAAATCAACTTGTTCTACACATTGGGGACTCTGCTATTTTTTGGACAGAAATGGCCTTTCCTTCGAAGTTTTCATGATTCTAGACACAATTTGCATAAATCTCAAGCTTTGCAAAAGAAATGAAATAGTCTAAATAGACCAGTAGAACACGAATGACCACTTCCCGCAATCTGGTAAGGTCATTAAATTTTGCTGGAATGTGATTTTTATTCAGATGGAAGCTACAACGAGGGACAAAAGTGTTGACACACTTCCTTAAAATGGCCCCTTTTTGCATAGTGGATATACTTATCCCCTTCCCCTGTCTACCCCAACCCCTTCCCCCCAAAATCAATGTTGAATTTTGGACCCTCAAGTCTTTTTTTTTACTTCAGACGGGGGATTTACGGCTTTTAAAAGGAATGAAATAATAAATGAATTAAATGTTTGTTAAAAGCACCCGTTTTAAACAAGTGTGTCAACTACTTTTGTCCCTGATTGTACCATAATTCAGCGAAATGAAATGTTTGTTTAGAACATTTCTTAACATTTCTTTGATCAGGGCTGTCAGTAAGGGCCAGCAGCCGGCCAAAACCGCCAGCTAGTTGACAAAACAGCATGGTGTCCGTGGTGGAAAATACCTCTTGAAAAGCCCTGGAAACACAATTTTCCAGTTTCTAAATTTCAAAATGTCCCTAGATGCCTCACCCCCAAGAAACTTGTGCCTTTGGTGAGGGTTCCAAAGCTGCCTACCATTTATTATCACTCTGCTACTTAAAAACTTTTTGACAGTCCTGATCTATGTTTTGGGGAATGCTTTCTGTGTTTTGCTACAACACAATTATTTGCATTTGTTACATTACATTATTGTACATGCTCATAAACAAATTCACCACTGGTTTTTCTGAAGAAAAACTGCCCAGGAAACCGATAGTTTTGAAAATGGCAATTCAGTTCAGGATGAAAAAATGGTGTGTACAATTTTACGTGCACTACAAGCCTGATATTTAATATTAACAATACATCATTACAAAGGAATTTTACGGTAAACAATTAAAGCAGTGATATCTATTTCTAGAAAAACACTACTAGAGCTACTAGAAAAATGCGTGTTGCAAAATCTCTGGAATTTCTTGGGGATAGCTTGACACAAAATCACTGAACACAGGTCACCAAATTGGCGACTTTCACCGCACTTTTAGGCGCCAACATTTTTTTTCTACTCACCGTGGCAAACAAAACAGTCACAGCTTGGAGCACTGATTAAAAATATTCCCAAAAGCTGCAAAAAGACAGCTTAAAAGACAGAGCTAATACTTTATAAGCGACGCTGAGATGTCAAAACGAGACTCAAGAAGAAGAATGCAAAAGTAATGCTGATGCTTAGCTTCCCTTCTATATATAACTTCTTGGAAGTAGTACTGAGGGGATGTGATCATAACCTGCGGACAATGATCGAACATTTCCCGTTGACTGTGCGTTATTTTATATACTCACTATCTAAAGCCTGGTCACTTAAATGTCAATTTATTAAACATAGCAATCAGTTGTCATAGTCTTCATCTTTAAAGCCTTCATCATAATCCTCATTATCATCAACATCAGCATCAGGGAGATTTAACACTCGGATGAAGCCTCAACTTCTTCTCTGATGTCAACAGAGATCTGCTCAGGTCTCTCATCGTGAACAAAGAGTGCAGATTCCTTTGCCACTTCTTTGACAAGTTCAACACAAAGCCGACTCAACATTTGAAACTAAGGACTTTTAGCATCGACAAAGGTGACAGCAGTGAAAACGTCACTTTTAAAATGAATTGGCGTTTTTTCCAACTTGGTCGCGTTTATTTCAGTTCGCTGAAAATACCTATGTAGGCCAATTTCCCAGGAGTTGAGTCTTTGGACCGCACTCAGGTTTAGAAAGAGAAAGAAAAGTTTGTCGTCACTTGTTTACGTCCTCCATAAAACGTGAAACTAGGCATTTTCACGGCGTAGTCGTGCAGTAACGGCAAAGAAATGTACAAAAAAGCGTGATGCACGTGCAAACTAGTTGTTTTACTCAATAAACCTATTGCATTCTCGTGTGTACTAGTACCAAATCTAAGTCAGATGTCTTTTTCCGACATTTCTTAGTTTTTGTATGTGAGTATTTCAAAATTACTTAAACCTTCTGCAGATGAAACTTGCATTTAGTTTGATGGATGGTCTTTGTGTGTTTCAAAGGTGTGCTCTTTTGGTTTAATTTAACATGAAAGTAGCCGGGGGAAATCCCCGGCCCCCGGCCCTTACTGACAAACCTGCGTATATCGTTTAGCAGGAATGATTGCAAGTACACGTGGGAAAAAACCGCACGTATATCGTGTCATAATTTTGAAACAAATGGTCGACCACAGTTAACAGCCAACTTCAAAGGTAGGCAGTCATCATTTGCATTATTGTGAAGCTATTTTCTTTCATCTCTCCCAATTCATGACTAAAGTTACTTTTGAACAATGCCTTTCCTTCTGGTTGTTGTTCAAACTGGTGAAGACACCGCGCAGAAAGTTTTCTTGTTCTTCTCACAGAGCTTTCTTCATCTTTCATATCGCTGAAACAGGTAGCCATTTTACTTCCAAAGCATGTGCTTTCAGTTGCATAAATTAGATTTCCACCTATGGTAAGGAAAGCCAAGTAATTCCCTAACAAAGAGAGCTGCTTTGTTTTGCTCGATAGCAAGACGAACAGGTTAATTCGACTTTCCTCAAAATAGAGAGTCTTTCACTGGAATGCAAAGTTTATCTTTTCATCATAGCATTTTAGCTATTAACCCATTCGCCCCTGAACCGCCCGTAACCGCCCGTGCCGACCAGGTCCTTTCTACCCATTGTGACATCATCAGTTTTAACGGTCAAGGACAACTTTCTTCGCTAACTTGTGCAGAGTGAAGACCAGAATGAGCACAATTCAGTCAAGGACACCGGAGAAAGAAGCAAAAAACCACGTGACATTGACCTGAAAATCTCCATGAAAATCTTGTTCCATTGCCCACCTACCTTTCCTTTCACCTAATCCTAAGATCCTAAAAGCTTTCCTAAAAACTCTTCCCACCAAAATGAAGCCTACTAAATGCCCAGCAAGAGAAAAAACAAATGAGGCAAGAAAAGCAAAAAAAGAAGGGAGGAGAGAAAGCGAAAAATAAAAGTCAAGACTGCTGTGTCACTTTTAAACCCAAAAACTATCTCGAAATTTTGCTTTCTGCGCATGCCCGAACTTCGCAAGCCGATATTTTGCATCTGGATCAGAAGGCCGCGAAGTGTACGACCTGTAAACCGGTTTGTGGTAAATTTCAGCTCTTCATAGCACGACAGTGACCAGAAAACCACTCGACTAGCTTGAAAACGCGTTTTTCGGCAAAATCTCCAGGAGCGAATGGGTTAATGTCTACGAAATCAACTCAGGGATGTAAAAAAAGCTTTTAAGATGAACATATTGAACATATTGAAACATTAGTTGGACATTTACAACATTTTGGTCGGACAATGTCCGATGCCCGACAGTAAGTTCCAGCAATGTCCAAAGTGTCTGAGGATTGCACATTTTTTGTTGTTGTCACCAAACGAAATGTTGAAGTAGCCTGGATTTCACTTCTAATGGCCACATTACCAGTCATAATTGTTCAAAGGCTTGCAAATTTCTTCTCACCTTCCCCTTCAATGTTGATTTGAAGATGTTTATACCCAAGCAAATGAGTGAATCCAACAGTGTGAGAAGGAGGGAGAAGCAATGTGTGTGTTTGTGTGTGGAACAACTTAGTCTTCTGTTTCCCAGAAGTGTTTCAACAAACTAAGCTTTATTTTATAAAAAAAAGTCCTCGGGTCCCTGGATGGTTGGAAGAGAAGGAAAGGGATACATTTACAACCAATGCATGGAAAATAAAACTTGTTTCAAGCCAGTACAAGTTTTAAGGTACTGAGAAATTGAGTCAGCAGGAGTTAACTGTAGTTGAGCTTTTAACTTGTTACTTAAGAATCAGACAGCACTTATAAATTCACCCTAAGGTTTGAAAATATAAGCTTTCTAGTGAAGGTTTCTTCATCACTTTGAAACTTTTTATCTCTCCAACAAAAAATTTGTAGTTATTTGCACAATAATCTCCATGATAGTCAATGGAACTTTGTATTGTCCACTTACGGTCACGGGCTTCATTTGAATGAAAACTGTTTCTATGGTAGCTGATAACAAATGGACCATAAAGATTTATAATACTTCATAAAAATTTTTGAACGCGTATCATGTCACACATCTCAACGCTCTCCAAACATGTTGAGTCCCTCCAAAAGTAAATTGTACATAGATCTGAAAAACAATTTCCTAGTTAAGTTCAGGGTTAAATTGGAAGTTTAATTCCGCCAAGCTGAAACAAACATTTTTGTTTGAAAAAGATTGAAACCACAACTAGATTGTACCGTCAGATTGTAGGGAGCGAATAAACTTGATCTAAGCGGTTAGGAAAAAAATAAGATAAGCTTAACGATGCAATCGAATGAGGAATTATTTACACGAACAACCACTTCTTATTTCCGAACGCTAGGTGATATTTACAAAAGATCTTTGAGATTCGCCGATTCTATAATTAGAATTTGAACACTACCTATAGCACGAAACACAAGTTAAAATTATCTAAATGATCCATGAGGTCAAAAACAAGTTACAATCTACAACGATTCGCCGTTCAACAAAGGTCTCTACGAATCAGCAAAGCGTTAACCTTAAATCCAAGAGACTTCTTGAAATCAGTAACACGTCTCAGGGGCAAAAGCATTGCGAACTGGTCCGCCATTCAACGGCAAACAATCCCCTTCGTGATATGATTTTTCGAAGCTTCTGATTCATTTATCACCCCAAATGTAATGAAATCATTACCCTTTAAAAAAGAACGGTTAACCAGGAGAAAATACAAAATGGGCAGCCGAATAATCAAAACCAACTGAACGCCGCTACAATTGATTCAATGCGATCGTTTCGAAACTGTGTTAAGTCAGTTTGGCGATACAAATGTAAGCACCGTTTTCATCTTTGAATATGCCACAAACTTATGGATAACGGCTAACCTATACTGTTGCGCTTATGAGAAAATACAACAAAAACAGCGACTGAACGCTATGCTTCAGGGGTTAAAGTTAGAGCGTTTGAGTCCCCTTTCAACCTCAGTCTGAAACAGGCCTTCAGTACACTGCACTCTTATAACGCAGTGACCCGAACGCTCGTAACCTAAAATCACGTTAGCAACTTTTGCTGTTTTCAAATTCAGTCCAGTGCATTAGCTAGCTTAAATTGATAAAATAAAAATGCAGCAACACTTACTTTAGAATGTTGTCCTTCAATAGCTGACCAGGTCCTGTTGTAATTAGAGCGACCCAATGTTGAATTCAAGTAGGAAGGTACGAACGGCTTGGCGGCAGGGTTCGGAACAAAATGCTAAATTCCCAGAAAAAATACGTAAGTTTAATATTTATTTAGCGAGTCTTAAGTAAGTGCTTTTCCGCAAAATACAAGAATAAGGCAAAACTTAAACATTAAATTTCCTATGTCTCTGTCTAAAACAGCACCGAACACGAATAATTCAATCTCTTCTCCTCAAGTTTTGCATACATAAATTGCACATAAAACGCGAATTAGAGCGACACTAAAATCCACAGAGTTAGAACAGACCTTCGCCTTTTCCTTAGATGTTTCCTTCCCAATTCTACATAAAACTGCGTCTTTTTGTTCACATTGCCCATGATCTGTCTGGGCGGAAAACGCCATTACTCCTCCATATTACAAACCTACAGAAATCTTCCCACTCTCACTGGGAAATCGATTGGTTGAAAACAGGCACGTCATTAAAATCAACCAATCAAAACAGTCGTCTGTGAGTATGATAAGGGTGGGGAGGGTAAGGAAAATATTGAACTTAGGCTGCTTTGAAACGAAATTTCGCTGTATTTATTTTATTCTAATTATAACTTTTTGTTTCTTTTTAAATTTGCTTGCACGAACTTACAAATAACTCAAAATCGTTCCACAATCTCCTACAACCTTAATGGTTGTTTTACACCTGTTTTAAAAAACACTCAGCCAGTGACAACGACCTTTACGTCACCTTCCAAAAGAGTCAGGGGCCCGTTTCTCGAAAAAATCCCGGTAACTTTTCGGACTCGAAAAGCTGTCTTTTGTTTGCCGCGTTTCCATTCAAGATCAACGTTTCAATAATCTTGAAAATGAAAAATGACTCGCTACCAGTTAAGCTACTACAGTAGGTACTATTATTCAAAAAATTTTGATTTTAAAATTTTCGGGCCCGAAAAACCCCAGGTTAGTAAAAATGCCTTAAAAATAGTCATCATCATCATCATCATGACTTTATTAAAGTGTCAGAACATAGTACTTAGCCGAGGGTAAGAACCCTCTACTAATTGGAGACACTGAAATAAGACTAATTTTAAATTAACAACTCTCAATCCTAAAAAAAGTAGCCCAGATGAACTTACTATAAATTTATACAGCAATTTACAATAAAATTATATCGTTATTCAGCACAATACTATAATACACTTATTCACATTAACTAGAATGATCCGAAAAAAATAAAAAAAATAGTGATAACAAATAAATGAATAAATAAATTAAGCAATTAGGTCACTTTGAAAGTCAGTTGCTACATAATACGCAGTTCTCACAATCAGACTTTAACAGGGGCACCCAACGTCAATCTTCGGAACTGAAATATCTGTTCGGAAGACGATTTGACATCTAGAATTTTCGAAACATTTGTTGTAAAATGTCTTGCTTGCCTGCCTCTCCTAGGATTTTCGAACATCCAATAAATGGTATAATTGCCTATTTTAAAAGGATTTTTACCCTAAAAAGGTCACCTAGAATTTTTGGGGGCCATTTTGCTGGCTGAAATTTTCGAAAAGGTAAGTTTTGATCCCTATAATTTTCGGATCAATAGACTTTCAGCTAAGAAGTCCGAACAGATGAAAAATTTTTAGGGGATAAAAATATGCCTATATCTACCGTTTAAATACTAAAATACGTTTAACAATGCTACGTTCAAGTGGTTTTGAACTATATTCTCGTTGGATTGACGAAGACGAATCTGTCGTTTAAATGATTGTAGTGCTGGTAAATTTCTAAGATTGCTGGGCAGGCTATTCCACAATTTTGGTCCTAGATATCTCAATGAATGTTTTCCATATGTTACCGAATGAAATCTGGGTATATAAAAATCAGCCCCTCTAAAGTTGTAGCCAGTGCTATTCACTGAGAACAAATCCCTGACGCTCTAAGAACATGCACATGCCATACTTCACCTTGTACATCTAACATGCTATGTCTTGAGGCCTCCTTTCATACAGTGTAATTAATTTAGCCTTGTTCAGCAGCTTCTCATATGTGGATTGACCATCCCTAAAGACTGCGCTCAGACCCCTCTCCTGAATACGTTCGAGTTTTTCTCTTATTACTCGCTCGGCAGAAATGCCAAGTAAGATGGCAGTAAGTAAGGTAAGGAAGTATTGCAGCCTTCAAAAATTGTAATTTCGCAGCCGTGTTCACTTAAGTTCTTTTGGATTTCAGTGCTCAAAGACGATGCACACCGTGATATAGGATGGTGATGAAGCTAGAATTCGTAGATATTTATAAGAAGGCAAGGGACCGGAGGCCGACATTGCTATCCCCTGCGCGCAAAGCACTGTGGTGTCCGATGCCCGGGGCTAGTATTAACACGCCAGACGGGTAAGTGAAGTTTTTTGAGGAATTCAGATTACAGAAGAACTGTGAAATCAATCTGCTTATCAAAACGTTTTTGGGGCTAGTTGAAATGACGTTTGGGCTAGTAAATGTTAGCTTCAGCTTGCCCGAATGGCAAGCTGTAAAAATGACTTTCTTTGCACCCTGATCCCTGGAGATGCACGAGCCAAAAGCAGAAGACCAGCCCTGCTCTACTTCATAGTCGATCGTTTTCTTCCTCTGGGGGAGCGGGGGCGTGGGGCTCAATAAAAGATTCTTTTTCAAAAGTCAGATCTCTCAGCAGACGGAAAAATCTTATAGAATTCTGGTACTACGTATATATACTCAACATACCTCAGTGCATACAACTATCTTGTATACCAACCAATGAGCGGCACGGTCGCGGTAGCTAAGCCAGGAGAAAACAGCAAATGTTACGCAGATAGACATGGTGCTGTCAAAAATGGCCTAGCAGATTCAGATACACAAACACAATGAAACTTCCTGACGCAAATTTTACAAACAATGTTCACTTTATCTGTCACCAGAAAGCAATGATGACAAGGTACATGTAGCAGGAACCCATGCTTGTAGTTATTTTTCCATTTTTTTACTGATTTATCTTCATTATAAGATAAAAGAAACATTTTTTATACAAGACTTTAAGCCAGCTTTTAATGTCAACATCAACAGTGAAAAGCTGATGCCTTTTGTATTAATTACTGTTAAGAATTTTTTATTTTTGAATATATAGTCTCGTCATTTTCTTTAGCGCAAGCGGTCACTTGAGATCACTTTGAAAATGTATGTTGAATAGCGCTAGCATACGAAACGTCAAGTTTATCAAAATGCGAAAGCTCACAATGTTTATCAACGCTGTTTGTGTTTTATTTTTGATCAAACTGCGATGGGGACGAGGTTGAAAAGACTCGATGAGACATCTTTCTTCTTTCTTTTTTTTTTTATCTAATAAAAGTAGATCCTTTGATTCTATTTCGGAGCCTTGCAAGTATTTCGATTATCCTGATTACGAGGTTTGCCAGGAAGTTGCCTGGCTGCGTGCATCAATTTTGCATTCCGCGCGGAGTTCGCGCGATGCCACGGAGGTTGCAACAACGGAAGGACGATCCGGGAGGACACAACTGCAACGTTACAGCCAACAGGTGCCCAGGGGCCCGTTTCTCGAAAATCCCGGTAATTTTTCGGGCCCGAAATCAAATATTCAACTCGACACATAAGAATAAGGGCGCGGATCCTGGCTAGCAAACTACTCCATTTTGTTTCATTAGCTGATAGTTTGATCATAGTAGATGCAAAATTGAAACCTGGATCTCTCAGAGACAGCTTTTCGAGAAATGGGCCCCAGGCCTCACCTCGGCCTCAAGAAACGTCCTGCAGGCTAAAGAGTCTGGGATTGAGAGGTTGCCGTCGTGGATGAACATGGCGGATGGAAGTCTCCAGTTGGATTTGAAGCTTTCTCGAGGTGGTGTTTCTTTTATCCGCGAAAAGTACACTTTCCCTTTTTAGTTCGAGATTCAGTGGGATGTAAGGCTATTGTTGTAACACGATGAACAGTTCTGTATCGAGCGGTGTGAAAATAACTCCCCTGCAGCAAATGATATCATCGTGCTCCGGGGCACTGATTACAAGTTTTTTTGGTAAGTTATTTCGTCATTTTGCTTAGACTTCATGTTTTTGAAAATTTTCTTCAGACCTGCTTTATTGCCTCTACGACTACGTCGTGTGATGGATTTATTAGGATTTTATTTGAGGTTTAAAAACTGATCTAAGCGTGGTCTGTATGAATGACGTAACAAATTGCGTAGATTACAGAGGTCGGTTATGGCCCTGTCCGTGAACTGTCTGCACTAAAACGGACTACACCTAAAAACTACCATTTGGAATGCATACTACTGAAAGAAATGCTATTTATGTGTTTACATAAGCATGTACGTACCTTGCATCTATAAACTTATAGAACAGTCTGTACATGTATGCATCCAAAATAGTATTTTAGGGATAGTCCATTTAGGTAATCCATGGACTGGGGGACAGTATTTTGTAGGGCTCTTATGATACAGCATTCCTAAGTAAAATGTCACGGTTTACATTGCATATACCTGATTGAAAAACATTGTCACTTAAAAAGTATGAACAAAGGACGATGAGATGAGTTTTCAAGGATTTATGGGTATACATTTATTAGCAGAGCAAGTTCAAAATTCTTTCAACAACAATATTACTACTATTAAATTTAATCTGCAATGGGTTCTTTGAAAAAATTGGGGTTGATTTGGAATATTGCAGTTAAAGCAGTCTATTACAATAATTTGTTAAAAATGGTTAACCAACTGCCTCACTTAAGTGGAAGGTGGGTGCCTGGGCTACCCAGTGGCTTCTACTGTGGCCAGCCAGCCCCTAGATAGAATACTGCCCCCATGGCTGGCAAATCCCCGCAACCCAGCCATGAGCCCCCATTCCAGTTACCCGTTACACTGATAAAACAGTGGAAGGAAGAAAAATAAAGGGTGGGAGAGGGGGAGACGTTAAATGAACTGCTCTACGAACCACTGCACAAAAGCTCAACGCGGAACTCACAGATCCTAGCAGTGTATTAATCTACCACATACCATGTGAGCCTGCACTTATGGGATTGACCACTGGATGCCCGCTAAGCTCATAGGCTGCTTGACCACCAAGCTTGTGGATCTCTTGACCCCTAAACGTGTGGACCACTTAAATGCTAAGCTTGTGAACTACTTGACGGCTAAGCTTGTGAACCGCTTGACCACTAAACTTGTGATGGTTAACTTAGTCAAATTACATTTGACCAATTTTAACCAACTGCCTCACTTAAGTGGAAGGTGGATGCCTGGATACCCATGGGCTTCCACTGTGGCCAGCCAGTCCCTAGATAGAATACTGCCCCCATGGCTGGCAAATCCCCGCAACCCAGCCATGAGCCCCCATTCCAAGCCAAGGGGACTCTCCGAGCGAGATCAGAGAGGGAAATAGGGGCTCAGGGCTGGGGGAAGCCCTGGTCCTGAACTACCAAAGTCCTGAGGCACCCTACAAAAACAACTAGGAAAGGAGGATACGTAAGAAATACTTGTCAAGTGAGTAGGCTTGCTACTTCCACAATAGTACTAATGGGAGTGCGAAATTAAGATCTGATATGCATCGCTAGACCATCTGCCAAGTGTCTTGATGAGGTGATCTGGTGAGCCATGAGAGGCTGCTAAAGTAGCTGTGGCAATGCAGAAGCTATAACTGGTGTAGCAACCAGGACCCCAGCACCAGAGAGGATAGATTGAATACTGGATGTCAGCCATTGGCGATGTAGAGAGGTGCCATCAGAGAGAAGGAAGAGTAGGCCAGGAGTTGAGCCACGGACATGTCGATACTGGGTAAGGATACATACAGGGCAGAGATCACGTTTTCCAGCACCAATTTAGATATAGCAACGTTGGCGAAAGGGGTCCATCTGAGAGCACTCAATATGGATCCTGAAGCTGCCTGGATTGACTAGGGAATCTGCTTGGATGTTGCTCACGACAAGGTGGATGTTGGGATTTATTTTAGATTTTAGATTTTTAACCTTAGATTTTTAACTTTTAGATTTTAGATTTTTAACTTTCATTTCTTGTGCAATGTATATATATTTTTAAGCTTTGTAACTAATTTATCTCGGTATTTTATTGAAGTTTTTAGCTTTTAGGTTCTACATTAACATAATGATTGTAAAGCGCCATAAAAGAGTAGCTGAATAGTGCTTATAAATTATTATTATTATTATTATTATTATTATTATTATCATTGTTATTAAGTGGGAGGTGATGCTGAACTCACCAGCACATAAGAAACCAGAAAATCCGAGACAGCAGGCAGCCCAATGGTTGTAGTCAGAAAAGTCCAAGGACTGGAAGATAATGTGCAGCAGCTTGATTGTGATGGGTTGGTGCTGATGCCTATTTGAGCCTTGGTGACGTTTGATACCCCGCAATACACGCTGTAACCAAAGGCAACCAACAAGGCAGACCCTCCTCAATGTGAAGGGACCAGATTGCTGAAAGGTAAACCTTTATGGATGAATGGTGGAGAGTATTGGCAAGATGACAGCAGAAATGGATGAGCATGTATTTACTAGCTGGAAGAGCTGATCCTGAAGGAGAGAGGCTATTGTCCTGAGCACAGAAATCCAAGAGGCGGTGTTGGGCAAAAGCATAAACTTTCCTAGTAGACTGGGCAAGACCCTGAGTCAGGTAGAAGTGACATTAATCTGACAGCGAAGTTCTTACTCCAAGAGGAGCTGCTGTGGAATCTGGGTCAGAATGGAGTCTGCATGAGGGACTAGCCGGCGAAAATGCTGAAACTGAAAGCGAGACAGGGAGTCAGCGATTGGGTTAGACTTCCCTCTAACTGGGAAGGCAGTGAAAGAGAAAAAGTGACGAGCTGCCAATGAGGACAGATAGCAAACAAAGGACATGATGGTAGGAGTTCTTGAAGTGCCAGACCGTGGAATTTCCACCACTGAGCGGTTATCTGATAGGAAGTTGACCTGGTTGGAGGACCATTGGGGCCCCATAGGTAAGCTGCCACAACGATAGGGAAAAGCTCCTTGTACTCAGTGGACTGAGAGACCTGTGCTGGGAGCCATGCACCTGAAAACTAGTGACCCTGGAAAACTGCTCCTTAACCAAGAGCCCATCAGGGAATGAAGCCCACTGGGGTACTGAAGGAAGCTGCAAAGATTCCAGGACTGGAAAAATTCTTGCCATCAGGCTAGGTCAAGGAAGAACTCCTGATTGAGATGAATATTGGGTGGTCATTGCGACGAAAAGTGCCTAGCAGGTTGATCATTTGGTGCAAGAAAGAGCGACCTTGGAGTACGACCCTGCAATCATGCAGAAGGTGACCTATTAGAGACTCCAGTTCCTTGTGTTTACAACAACACTTCTGTGACCATTCCTCCAACTAGGCAGTTATCCTATCAAATTTGTCCTGAGGAAAGCGCCTGCCAATTTAGAGAGTCCAGTTCATGGCCCAGGATGGTTAGACACATCGACAGCCCTTCTTCTTTGTCTGCATGGAGGGGGATGCCAAGCTTAGAAAAATATTCAATAGACCTGTCCAGATTGTGTTGACAGACAGAGGAGCTGGAAGGGCCAAGAGTGTGAAAGTCATCAAGGTAATGCATTAGGAAGGTGACTTCGTAGTTTCGCTTGGCCACCCACTCCACTAAGTCTGCTATACATGTGAAGATGTATGGAGCTGACCTGATGCCGAAAGGCAGGACCATATCGACATAAAAGGCACCACACCATTTCATACCCAGCAACTGGCGATCTTCTGTATGGACTGGCACAATACAGTATGCATTTTGCACATCCAATTTCACCAGAAGGGAACCCCGCCCCAGCTGCATTATGCCCATAATAATGTCATCTACCTTCATGTACTGTACAGAATAATCCTCGCCGACAATCCCATCGCTGACACTGTGGACAGCAGGGCTTGACAGCTCTAGGATGAGATGCCATTTCCCAGGTAGGTGGCATTTGGGATGACGCCGAAACGGCTCACATGGAGGACAGGGAGGGCAGGCTAAGAGAAGGAGCCTGCCACCCTGCCTGTCTGAACTTCCAATTGCAAGTAATTGTCAATGACCTGAGGGTTTAGGAGTGCCGAAGCCTTGTTCCCCGTTGCTGACTTCAAGGAAGTACTGTAGTTGAAGCCTAGGTGAAAACCATTGCGAAGGCCTTAGACCACGTGTGCAACTTTGTCTGGGTTAGGATGATCGCGGAGTTCTAACTGGAATCTATCCATGTTAATGGGAGTAAGCTGAGAAACCAGTCTTAAAGGACAAGCGGCCAGAGAACACAACAAGTAACCAGAACTTGATAGATCCTGCTGCTAAGAGGGTGAAACAAAAGGGGAACGCAACTCTAACCCTGAAAGGTTACCATGAGAACCAGTGAGAACAGAATCAAAACTATGTGCAACTGAATTTGCTAGGAGAGGTGGCCCAGTCATGGCGGTGACCCCTTTTTGACTGAGAAGGGGAGCAGGACCAGTGTCTCCATGCAAAGCGGTGAGGGAGCGGATGCGAGGGTGGTCCCGGTGGCATGTTTTGCAAGAGTGACGAAACCGGCAGTGGCCAAAGGGCCAGCAACAGCACCCATCATTCCAGGAGTGCCAGTACTGGCTAGACTTGGGATTGCCCGAAGATGCCAGAGGCTCTGTTAGTGACAAGGCAGAGGAAGTTGAGGAGCCCGAAGCAGCTGAAGTGGTCGCCAGAGATATGGTGTGAAAATTGTAGAGGTCTGGCTGCATGTGACAACCTGAGGCTGCAGCTTCTTTTCTGAAGGTGATGTTGTAGTTGAGCCACAATTTATCAGAAAAGTGCCATGCTGTCTGAATAGTGAGTAACTTGTACTGGTTTAAATCTTTTCAAGAAGAATCATACAAAAGATTGTGTCTTCTGTCCAGGTGATGATGCCTGCTATTTTGATGACCCATTTCTTGGACCCTGATACCACCAGTTTTCCCTCCAAAAATGCTTGGTGTTCAATTTCTTGAGCTCAAGTATTGTCTGGTAGTAGGTCAGCCAGGTCTACAAAAAGCCCTGCTGTAATTTTACCAGCAAGTTTATACGGGACTGGAGCATAGCCAGGACCCACCTTAAATGCTTTGTTGAGGTTTGGAAATGTGGAGGACTCAGATCCGGCCATGCCACCACAAGAGCCACCCAACCACTACAGGCAAGTTGGCGGAGGACGTGGCAGCGAGAGTAGACACAACTAAGGACCTCTAAAGGAGCTGTAGGTTGAAATAAACAAGGGCACAACAAGCATACCTGAAGACTGGAGGGAGTACTGGAGCTCAAGGATGCCTGAGACTGCATTGAATTTGAAGCCGAGGAGAGAGGACCAGATGTCGCAGCCATGTTTAGAACTAGCTACTACCAGAATGCGAAGACGCAGTAACTGGAGAGGACATTGTAGGCAAGCTGTTGTTTGTGGTTTGCATCCTGAAAGAATGTGGTGACTTGCACGCCTTGAAAAATTGAAAGAAAAAGGATACAAGAAAAAATACACTGTAGGACTGCTGCTCCAAAAAACACTAAAATAGACAAAAAGTCACTAGATAAACCACTCCACAGACCACTGCACATAGCTCAACAAAGAACTTACAGATCCTAGCAGTGTACCAGGGTACCACGTTTCATGCAAGCGTGCACTTATGGGATTGACCGCTGGATGCCCGCTAAGCTCATGGACTGCTTGACTGCTAAACATGTCGACTGCTTAACTGCTAAACTTGTGAACCGCGTGACGGCTAAGTTCATGAACCACTTGGCCACTAAACTTGTGGACCGCTTGACCGCTAAGCTCGTGGACCTTTTGATGGCTAAACATGTGGACTGCTTGACCACTAAGCACATGAAAAACTTGACCGCTAAACTCCTGGACCGCTTGACCACTAAAAATGTGGACTGCGTAACCGCTAAACTTGTGAACCGCTTTACAGCTGAGCTCATGAACCACTTGATTGCTAAACTTGTGGACCACTTGACTGGTAAGCTTGTGGACCGTTTGACCGCTAAACATGTGGACTGCTTGACCATTAAGCTTGTGAACCACTTGACAGCTAAGCTCATGAACCACTTGACCGCTAAACTCGTGGACTGCTTGGCCACTAAGCTCGTGGTGGTTAACTTAGTTAAATTACACTTAGCCAAATTATAATGGTAACCCACTGATAGCTCATAGACTGAATTATTCACTAGTTAATCTCTCTTTAATTTACAGTTACACCCTTAGATGTGGTAAAAACAAGACTACAGGCTCAGCTCAAACCTATTCCTAAATGTAAGGTTTCATAACATTTCACTGATCTTATCTTGACTGTTGTTGTTTTTTCCTTAGAATATGATTTTATTATTTCTATTATAATAAAGTCACCGTCTTATTCCTAGCAGGCCAACAGTGTCTGTGAACGTTCTGGCAAAGATACAGCAGAAAGAGAAAGCCAGACTGACTGAAGAAATAATATTTCCTTGCCAATTTTATTGAATGTGTAAATGCAATTTAGGTTGCTAGCCCTTTAAAATGGACACCTTTAGCTACTCTTTACTATCAAAGTTAAATACAGTGCACAGTCTCTCTGAAGACTGGCATTTAATTTGTTACCACTGATAACTGTCTAACAAAGAGTGGACTGTGTTTGTCTTATTTCTTCACAAGCTCCTTGTTATTTGTTCTGCAATGGCCTTATGGATCATCTTTGTTTATGTGCCAACCTTGGTTCTCCATTCAGACCATTTCCCCATGTTCCACATCCACCATTCAATTCAACAGTGGTAAGGTCATAACAAGAAAAGTGAGTATGATGTGAAGAATTATGCTGATTGAGGTGGATAGCAGCCTCCAAATCTACACAATTCTTCATGTCATACAAAAAGCAAATTCTATAATAATATTTTTTTTATTATTCAATCAAAATGAATTCTAAATTCTTAACAAACGTACCTCCTTGTAGACTTTCCTTAAACAACTGCCTTTCTTTTCAGCACAGTTTGTGGATATAAACTTATGTTTTTCCATGCAGATACTCTTTCAGAAGTGATTACTGTATTTTGTGCAGTCCGTTTTAGTCTGCAATTCATCTAGTATTTCGTCTTCGGATAGCTGTGAACACCATTTTTCTTTTGTTCACTCAGGCATAATAACATCATATCGATGGGTTTTGTTTGTAAAGCAGGTGTATGCCTAGTTTTATACATTGTTCTTTTAAAGTTCCATAACTTTTAGTTTGTCACAATTAATACCTCTATTTTAATACCACCTTATACTTTGATTGGATCTGAAAGAATAATTATTATCAGACCTTGTTGAAAAGCTCAAGTATTGGACAAAGTCGAGTTGGAAAAATGTAAATGCCAAAAAAGGCAATGTTGCAAGCACTTGCCAAAAGCTTGAGGTAACAGATCATTTGTCTTGAGCAAAATCTGCTGGTACAAATTCAAGTTGCCTGAAGATGGTCAACAAGAACATCAGGGCCCAGTTTGTTCGAAGGCGGATTAGCGTTTAACCCAGGGTTAAATTTAACCCAGGTTTCTTTTTCTTTTGTTCAAAAGCATTTTCTCAGATAATTTTCTCTGTTATTTTTAAGAGCATCCGATCATCAACTTGTTGACAAAAAGAATTAAACTGAATTATTTTACTTTTTAAGCTTTAAGATCTGAATTCAATTTTTGAACTATCCCTGGGTTTTCTTAACCCAGCTTTGAACAACCCGGCCCAGTAATGTGCATGTAGCATGAGAGTTTGGTCATAGCACTTGTCTCTGACTTTGATTATAGAAGGATTCTTTTATGTTAAACAAGAACTTAGAAAAAAAATCTGTACTACCACAACTCAAGCAGTATAACTGAGTAATTGTAACTATATCCATCCCTGTTTAGGATGCTTTGATCAAAATTCCACGATATGAAGGCTTATCAGCTTTATGGAAAGGACTACCACCAACTCTGTAAGCAAAAATCCATGAAGATGTACGTTTATTATGTCATGAAGTTTTATTTGAGACATGCATGTTATACGTAGCTCTAGATACAAATATATTAAAAGGGGTACATTCAATCAGCTCATCAGAAATTTTACAACTTTTGAAAAATAATTATGCAAAAAATTCTTTTGGTAGCCAATATTTAATTCATGCTTGTGTTCTTTCTTTGAGTTTCACAAACCACTTATATTATATGTAATATATTTTTCAGTGTGATGGCTGTTCCAAATACTATGATTTATTTCACACTTTATGATCAACTTAAAGTGAAGTATGGCTTTGTAGAAGGACAGCAAAATGTTTGGTCGCCAATGTTTGCTGGAGTAACTGCTCGAAGTAAGAATAATTCTATACTTTAGATCTAGTTATGCTAGACCTTTCCCAAGCTCTGTGAGAGCTGTAGGAAAAGGTCAGTCATTCTGGGATTTGATTGCTTTCTTGTTTGCTGTTACATGCGGGTAAATTCCCAACAAAAGGAAAAAAATCCCATGTACGGCTGTAAACCTTTTAACCATTTTTCATAGAATATATACCTCTTATTAGACAAGTTTGAGGTCTGTACAATGTAAATTAAGAAGCAATTTTTTTTTCATTGATTTACGGCCCAAGCGCGCGCAAGTTGGCCAATCACAGGGTGAAAACAGACTTAGTCTTATAATAATAATTAGCAATTACTGAATGGCGTTGGGTATGATATGAAGAATTATGCAGATCGGGGAGGATGTTATCAGTGGTTAACAATCTTCTTTCGAGATCTGTACAATTCTTCACATCATTAAGAGAGCCAACATTTAATAATTGTTTTATTGTTCATTCAAAATATTTCTAAATTCTTAGCAAGCTTTAAGGGAAGGTACATTCTTAATTGTGGGGGAGGGGGGAGGGTATTTTAATCTTTTTGCTGATAATTTCCTGGCCCTCCCCTTTTCCTTACCTGGTAAACATGTGACCCCTCCTTAGACAAAACAGAAACCTGTGACCCTCGCCCATTCCTATCCTTCCATTGCATATGCATTGGCTCACCACCATCGGTGGCAAGAAGGTTGAATTATAACATTGATCTCAGAAAACTTAGCGTAAACAAAATCACCAGCCATCGAAAACACAAAGTGGCTCTAAATGAAAAACCTACCAACTCTCCTCAATGACTCTTCATTCGCAGTTCAATTTAGCATTTCAGTTTTGAAGACAAGGGCAATTTTGCTGTTTAAGATAAAGATTAAGCTTATCAAAATGTTTGAACTACACGAAAGAATGCTAGGGATGCGATCCGCTGAATATCAAGCGACAATCCCACTAAAATTTTTCATAATTACCGGTATACATAATTATGCAAATGTTCAGACAATCAACCAATCAAAATCACCACCAGGTTTTCGGGTAGCTAGTGATGTCACTGGACGGCATTAACGGGCCGTCGATTCAGACTTTGTTGAGAGGAGAAAACAACTTGAAGCAATCGGACGAATTTCAGACTAATTTCAGCCCAAAGAGAACAGTAGTCAGCCAAGTCAGTTGTGTGCCATGGCAGAACAAGAAGGAAAAAGAAAGACTGAAAGAGTGAATGAATCTGATGAATGAACTGTAACAAAAATGAGGTTAAATAAAATATTTAACACAGTTAACAAGGAGCGTGGTCAGTCGTTTAGCTCATTGCAGTCAGCTGTGCTGCATCACCTCCATGTGCTCAGTACAGCGTTTTCCTGAAGGCTACTCGCTTTATTCTTCCACTGATAAATCACTGTGACAGTTGCCTGGTTGCATTGGCCTGGGGGCTCATGGCTGGAGGGTGAGGTTTTGCCAGGTATGGGGGCGTAACTCTGTCTAAGTGCAGGCTGTGCCAAAAGTGGAAGCCCCTGAAGCCCACCTCTACTAAGGGACATAGATGTTAATAGCAAACAGGAGTCTTTAGTAATAAAGTTCTTGTTCAATAGGAAGGACTGTTACGAAGCTTTATAATACGAAAAAATGACGTCAGTGTGGTAACTGAACACATTTCCACAAACCACTGTGAAAAAAAGAGGCTTTATCCTCCCTTAATACCTTTTAAAATAATGGTTCACCCTCCCCAATGGTCCCATTTCTTTTGGATGACCCTCCCCTCTGAAGCACCTGAGCCCTCCCCCCCCCCAATTAAAAACATACCTTCCCTTACCTTCTCTTAGACTTTCTTCAAAACTTTAGCCTATTTCTCCACATGATTTCAGGGTATAAAAGGATGCTTTTTCTTGCAGATACTCCTAACAAAAACATCGAGCAATATGTTTTGTGTATTTTTGCTTTCTTCCATTCAGTTATACTCAGAAATTGAGCTATAATTTATCTTCAGATAGCCATGATCACCATTTTTTAGTTCACTCATGAATAAATAGTGTAGTGGTGGTGCCTGGAAACAAGGTTTATCAATGGTCTATGTAGCCCATAGTTTCTTTCTTTGGGTCCCAACTTTGTCTCGAGTTGACATTTTGAGTGTTTTATTTGTAGCTATTTCCATTACCTGCATCTCACCTATCGAAATGATCAGGACTAAAATGCAAGCCATGAAAGGGTTCAGCTATAAAGGTACAAAGTGATCTACATATATGCTTTTTATTGTTTCTATTTAATGTATGTTAAGGTTGTGTTTGTGCATTGAATCTCTGTTGAGTAGTGATAGCAAGCTTCCAACAGGGAAATACTTTTAGAACTTCTTAACTGAAAAGATACTGGAACAAACTGACAGAAAAAAAATAAAGCAGGGGTCTACAAGAATGCATTTCTTTGATGTCTACTGCATGGCTACACCGTGAAACCTCCTCATACAATGTTTGATGGACAACAATGTTTGATGAACGTACAATAATAAATTTTCCTTTCTCTTTTTTAATCTGGATAAAGTCATTAAGAACTTACCTCAATTTGACAAATTGAACTGGTCCAAAATGACGTGATAAAGTTTGAAAGGACACAAATTCATTTTTTTAGCAATGTCTTCACTGCTGTCATCATCACTGTTGCTTAAGCTCCCTACTGTGAAAATAACAAACATGATTTCAGACTATCTACTGGAGTGTGTCTGTGCAAGCTTAAGTACAAATAAGAAAAAGGGTGCAGTTGGTAGGTCGTACAGGGCTAAAAAGAAAAGTCCATTTCAGTCATCTGGAACGAGTGGTTTTTGTTTCTGGGCAAGGGTCCAAGGCACGTCATTGTTCAATGAAATCATTAGCTAAGAGAAGCAACTAAGTTGCAACAGGCAAGAAAAACATGAGAGATGCTTGCCCACCCACATGCTAGAATTCATGTCATATGATTGAAGTGCAGAAAACTGGATAATGAAATTGTTATTTGATGCAGCCAAATTTTAACACAGACTTTCTGTAAGTACAGATTATATTTCACAGTCTCACTTCTTCTACCTTTATTCATGTTCAGTTTTATGAGGTTACCTTCAGTTGGTTCTGTTTAATTCTCTACTTCCTGCTGTGATGTCTCTAATTTATTTTTGGAATCTTAAGATTAATCGATATTTGTCTTGTGTATTAGAACTTGGAATAAATATTGTTTTTAATAATTATTTAAATAGAGCTAGTCAAAGTCACCAAGAATGCCGTTGAGCAAGGTGGAATATTATCACTTTGGCAAGGACTGGGACCAACACTTCTGAGGGATGTTCCATTTTCAGGTACTCATTAACGTAGTGTACTATCAGTAGAAACACATTCTGTTTGGTAGCACAATTAAATCAGAAGTGATAGAGGAATAGAAGCACAGGCTCACAACTCTGCTGATTTGTGACTTGCATCACAGACATTCATAAAGTTCTGAAAGTAACAACCCCTTGAATGCAACGACACTTCGAAAGTAGTCAGTGGTAAAATTTCACACCAGGTGTTTCCAAATGCCAAAAGTAGCAACTCTCCATAAATAATGACCCTCCAAAAGTAGCGATCTCAAAAGTAATTTCCCTTTTTGCTAGAAATAACAGAAAGTATAGATAGAGCCTTTACCAAACTAATCCGAGGTTAATTTTAATGGTTATAATGATCACATTCCTTTATGTAACCTACATACATACATACATACTAACTTTATTCAAGATGTAAACAAGCTTATTTACAGGAAAAACATTAAAAGGCATCTTGAAAAGGGAGTTGAAAGGTTAGCCCTACATTAGAACTCCCAAACAGAAATAGAAAATGCTAAATAAAAAATCAAATACAATTCAAGTATCCAAACATCAAGGCCTTCATTAAAGCACGGTTCTAGTTTAAAATTTATTCAATAGATAATGAAGGCTTTCAGCATCTACTATGTCTCTTGATAAATCGTTCAATTTTGAAACTATTCTAATAAAAAAGAATGTTTGTAACAATCAAGTCTTGCTCTTTTAACATACAATATTTGAAAGGGTGATTCGCTCTTGTTGACCCAACTTTTGAGAATTCGAGCTTATAGCACTCAATTAAAGATGAATCATTTCTACGGTCAGATAGTGTGGGCCATTTCAACAATTTACAATGATCAACATAAGGCATTTCTCCCTTGTGTTGATTAAGTGCTAATCTAGATGCCCTTCCAAAGGTACATTACCATTTTTTTTTTTTCAAAAAGTCTTCCTTTCATCTGTGAATACCCATACCTTTAATCAAACAATTCGTTTGAGTTTTTATTTAAAAAGCAATATGAAATAAGTTTCTCCAAATAAAAAGTGTGGCTGTTTTCACATTTGTCATGATTTTATTACCATACCGGTTACTTCGTACAGCCCATGTACGGTGCATGTTTTAGCTACCTGAAAGCAGCCACCTCCCAAACATAGTGATCCTTCAAAAGTAGCGATAGGAAAAGGCTGCTAAATCCAAAAGTAATGAGGTTCGTTTCTTTCGGAACTTTACGGTAGCTGTTAGAACTATGATTGTATCCTTAGCACAACATCAATAGCTGCTATGTTTAGGGTGTCTATAAATGTTGTTGTAGGCCTTTCTTAATGTCTTCTAGTGTCTAGCGTCCAGAGCCATTCCTTTGCTGTGCCATATAACTGCATTCTCAGTCCCCTTACCCTCTCAGATTGAGATATCTTAGCTAGGTAGATGTATCATGTTTAAACAATGAATATTTAATAGTACTGTCATTAGCATTTTCAAGTGTGTGCTGTGAAGCTTCTTGTTTATGGATACATTTGCTTGGTATGTCTCAGCCTTGTACGGGAGGTTAGGTTCAGTTATTATCTAGAATGTCTGCTTTTTCAGACTTTTTTGGGCCCTGCTTTTCCTTACCTGCCTTGTGTGTCAGTGCCATCCATACTCTCCCTTTCCTGGTGACAAAGTAAAACTCCTCACTCTGGAGGTGACCATCCAGGAATGTGAAGTTTGACACTTTTTTTGGTATGATTCCATTTGATAATGTGATGGCTATGATGTGATTTTATGGTTGGAGATTATGCACTCTGTCCCCTTGGCTTCAGTCTAAGTCCAATGTCATTTGCCTCCTTCTCCAGTTTATCAACTTTGGTGCCTGGGGCTCTCTCCACCTCTTGTAATGTCAAGTTGACGTACATTACAGCTCACCTGACTTCCTTGACGAGTCTTTCAGGTGTTAGTGTGTGAGCACTGGGAAAACTTCTCAGTATGAAAGCTATTTTGGTTAGGCCTCAAACGCTGTTCAAGAGAAGGTTTCCCTCAGTTCAAAATAATAATTAACTCATGAATAAACTTATTTTATTCATGAGTTAACTTTGGACCTCAAAGAGTAGGATTCCGCTTTCCCTCTCTGAGTAACGTAGTACAATATTCAAGAACTCTGCTATCGAGGTGACATCTTTTGATGACTTTGGGAGAGCTGTGGTTGGTGGTCTGGTGCTTCTGCCTTCGCTCAATTTGCAGTTCACAACTTAATAATGTTCTGATAGCGTAAACGCATCATCATTATTTTTATTTCAACGTCTTCATAAAACATTGGCAGAGGTGACTGGTTGTCAATATTGATAGAACGACTGACCTAAGTAGTTTGCTTAAGGTGTTTCCGCGATACATTCAAATCGCAGCTGAGAGTGCAAGTAGTCCACTTCCGGTTGATGTGCGTCGCTAAAAAACGTCACTGCTTAAACTCCCTAATCCTTCAAGTGATTGTTCTTCCTGTTGACTCTGAATCCTCCTCTTTATTCTGTGTAGTATGTTGCGACTTAGCAGAAAGTTATCCATTTTCTATTACTTGCCTGTGTTACTTGTAATCAACTAAGCAAGAAAACAATAATGCTACTTGATGAAGTGAGTTCCCATCTTCCATTAGTTCATACAAAATAATAAATGGATTGTGGACCAACTGGAATTAATTCAACTACTGACCGATTATTGTTGGATGTGTTTTTCAGCTGTGTACTGGGGAGGCTATGAGTTTCTTAAGTCTAAATCCTCTGATTCTGGATTGATGATAAATTTTTTATCTGGAGCCACTTCAGGAGCTGTGAGTGCAGTATAGTCATATCAGTTACTTAAGTCAATCCCCTATTCAGCCTTTACCTTGGTCAGGGGGCTAAGGGGGTGGGAGTGAACAGGTTGACTGTTTAACAGAGTTGAAGACAACAGAAGTATTAAGTGCAATGACTTGAAAATGTGACCATGAATGCATATTTATTAGTCCTATATTTATGCCTAAAAAATAGGAGGGAGGGGGAGGGGAAGGGGAATGGATCACTTAGTTGTTTGACTTTTGAGGGGAGGGGCTGCTCATTTTAAATATAAACACGGGATAGGAGTAGCTAATACACTTATGCCGGAAAACAAGTGTAGTAAAAATATAAACTTTTCTAAATATTAAACTACCGTATCACGCAGTCGACAGCCCAATGAACCCGCGTTATAGGGATCTTGTTGAGGAAGATTTGCAATATTTGCTGCAAGTGACTTCTTAATACATGTTTGATTGCATTTTTGTTAGTTCATAGCAGTCCAAGAATAATAACAAGTAATCTGTGCATTGACTCAAAGGTTCCTGGATGTAGAAAGGTGGTGTTATGATATGCAGGTGCTCAGCAATTATATTTTGTACTTTTTTTCCAGATCGCAGCGTTACTAACTACTCCTTTTGATGTAGTGAAGACGCATCGTCAAATGGAGCTGGGTGAACTTGTATTCAGTAAGCTTAAACTATACATGTGTATCGTTGCTACTTACTCTATTTATGAACACTTTGCTGTCCAAAAAATGATTATCATAAACTTCCGCTAAGGTTACTATATTTTAAGCTTCCTTTCCAAAAGTCAGCATTTAATAAAAGATTTTGGTATTTGTAGTCAAGTGACTTCATTTTGTAAATGTCCTGTTAGGAAGGGCACGATGATACTGTGTTTACTGGGATGCAATTATTCAAACATTAGCTGGCTTTTCTTTATGATGCTTCACGTTTTCGAGATAATTCTAATTTAGGAAAAAGTGTCATTACATCTGCCAAACAACTGAGCATTACTAAACTGAATTGTTTAAACAGGTGATCCAAAAGCCGCCAAGAAACTTTCCTTTACGTTCTCCATAATGTCTGAGCTGTACAGAGAAAGTGGCTGGAGGAGTCTGTTTGCTGGTAAGGACCATAACGAGAGCTACAGTAACACCATAAAACCTAGCCTCCATAACAGACCCGATATGAGATTATCATAGTAGAACACATCGCGTAAGGTCAAAGTGTGTCGTAAGGTACAAGCATTTTCTCGTTGCTTGATGTTCTGCTCTTGGTTGACTGAGTTTGAAACTCCCGCAAGTACTAATATATCCAGAACTCTGCTTATCTCAGTTACGAGGTTTCAGATTTTGCGCTCAACAGTCCTGGTCATTGAACCGCTTAAGTTCACTTATATTCACTACATCCGATATGAGGTTTTCAAACAGCTCATCTTTTATTATATTAATTTTGGTTACGACTGCATGGGCCGATCAAGTCAAACGAACCAATGTTTTTGTTATGTTAGCGTCAGTACCTGTAAAAATATTTCTGACCACACACGCATTCAGTTAGCAATCATTTGTAACGAGCGCGGCAGGCGTTTACTAGAGTGCTTTTGTTAACTTTATCAGACCTCTGATTTCAACTCCTAAGCTCATACTATGCCGCCTGTTTAAAAACTGGGCACTGCATGTAACTACATGTCACGAAAGACAATAGCATTCTGGGCGATCTTCCTCTCGCTTCATGTTTGACAATGTAAAAAACGTTTGCTTTTAGCAGGATGTCACATACTGCTTAGAAGCAAGTGTTGGGCTAAAAATTTATCACTATTATAATTTAATGATAAATGTTTGGCCCAGCTCAACAGCAGAACGCTAGCGTTTTTTGCAGAAAAACGAAACTTAGTGTACTTTAGAAACAAGAAAGTTGTTTCTGCAATGTTTCTTATAATGAGTTCCTTTATTTGCATTCCATGGTTTTCTAAAGTGCGTTCTGAACCACAATTTTTGGGTTTGATTGGTTGACCATTTCCTAGATATGGGTTGCCGCACTTGCTTGTGTCCACTTGTGTCCGAGCGTCGCTAAAAACAGTTCATTGTATTATTTTTTCAGGAGTGACAGCACGGATAATAAAAGTTGCCCCAGCTTGTGCAATTATGATCAGCACATATGAATTTTCCAAGTCTTTCTTCCGCCAGTACAACATGGAGAACATAGCTTCCGTAACAACTTCTGACCTAACATAACGGTCTGCAAAGTTAGTACCGCATCGGCAAACAACTGCCACGTGGCTTACAAAGATAGAGCAGCTTGGTGAAGATAGTCTGGACTCGTAGACGTCTTTGATCACCACAGTTGGTCTTGTTACAGCAGCTAACTCATAAAGGATCACATTTAAAACACCCAAAGTCATACATCATGATCGACTGGTCTTGAGCTGCAGCAACTGAAGTTTGTTACCCCACTTTTTATAAGCAGTCGTTTTGTACACTGCATGTATGTACCGCAAACTGAAATTGATTAATCTAGAGTGCATTCGTTTGGGCTGATCAAGTCAGGATTTATGACGGATCCAAATCACTTGAATCCTCCGGCATCAAAGGAACCGATGAATGGTCCATTAGGACCACAGTCAGCATAATGTATTTCCGCAAGATGTATCTGACCTCCTCGGTCGTATGTCCTTTTTAGAAATAAAAGTCGTTTCCAGGCCTACATTGTGTACTTTTAAGAAAAAAGACGCTGTGGAAGCGTATATATGGGCGTCGTTGTACGAAGAGTATGAGAAGTTTTTAAGTACATTAGGGGTGTGTGAGTAGTGCAGTAGCGTTGCATATTTTATGGGTTGCTTGGGATATGTGAAGTGGTAGGCATGGAGTTATATTGGATGTGGATCGGTAAGATAATGGCTGTAGTTTGCTAATCAGTGAAACTGGTTTCTCACAGAATTTGACAGAAAGTAACAAAAAAATTTTTTTGTGAGGTAGTTGTGGGAGTGCTAATTTGGTTATGAAGGGATTGTGTAGTTCCAGTCTGTTGAAATGAAGCGGTGGTTGTGAAAGCCAGTTGTCGAAAACATACTTGTACTTATTTTTAATGTTGTTAGGCTTTTTGTTTATGATTGTTTTTCGGTTATTTTTGATAATATTTGTATGAAGAGAACGTGGATAAGTGAAAGTTCATTTGATTTGGAGAAGGGGCTATGACGATATTTGGGGAGGGTGAAATTTTGGGTGGGTGGGTTCGGGGAGCTTTGAAAAATCAGTTAGGTCAAGGGGGAAGGCGTAAAAATCTGGCAATAAAACTAAGGGCCTGATTACATGGGTGGGGCTGTCTCGCTTTGCAGAGATCTCGGCACTGTAGTTAAACGAAACAAAAGTCAACTTTACGATTACATGACAACCGAGCCAGCCCGGTTAGCTGGGATCCCAGTATTTTCCAAGTAATCACGCTTGCCGGGTAGCCCGGTGAATGAACCAAGCGAGAAACGTGCACACTGCTTCCAATCTCTTTATAACTGAAAATGGCGGCTCCGGGCCGGCCCGGCTCATGTATTAAAGGGACAAAAGTCACCTCGGCAGAGCTAGCCAGCCCGGATCATGTAATCAGGCTTTACTATGAGTTGTATTGTCACGCGGTTAGGACGTGAAAGCTTTGGAGTTTGCCGCTTTCGTGATTCGTGTATGAGAAAAATCGACTTGATCTAATTAGCCCAAGGGTTTTAAAAATAACTGTCACGCACGCAGTTTGCACGTGAAGATATTGGACTTTGCCCCTTTTACACTTTGAACGTGAAAGAATCCAACTAGTTTACGAGTTCATATTGCTCAATAAGATTTTAAGAAATCGCCTCTTTTCCGAACATATGCAATGAAATTATGCATCATTCAATGTTAAGAGTTACAGGCGAACATCAATTAGCTTTAATAAAATTATCAAACTGCCGAAATAATTTATATGTAGCCACTCATGGCATGTCATTCCCCTCAGTGAAACAATCCCGTATTTATCTCGTGCACTATCACGAAATTTTGCGTCATTGCGTAACATCTTTGGCTCTCGAAATAATGTCAAACTCTTGGGTGTAAGCCAAACCCGTCAATTCCACAGTGTGATTTTCAAAGTTTAACACTACCAACGATTCAAAAATATTGATTACTTCTAAAACTCAAACAACACATAAAGCAATTAGGAATGGATAGAAACAGTCAAAAAGTTATCCCGGCTAAACGAATTATCGCCATATGACGTTGAAATGTCATTCCTCACGAACGCAAACAGCTGACAGTAAGCACGAAAATCGCTTAAACTCTTGGGTGGTGGATCCAAACCGCCACCCCGTTTAAAATTCCAAATATTTTTAACAGATTAATCCCCGGATTTGACAGTTCCAAATTTCTGAAAAAAAAAACGCCGGTAAAAAATACAGTAAGCTTCAGATTAAGTTCGTCTTTCCCTCCAAATTGAAAATTATCCCTGTGTTGTTCATCTCTTTCAATTCCTTCGCCTCCGTACTGTTGGGAATTGTGTTTCTTTGCTGCAAGGTTTTTGAGATTGTAAAAGTGGGATGAAGTACCCTGCCAGCAGAACTTTCTTTTCGGCATGCTTTTTACGTTATACGAGACGTTGGCCTGGCAGACATTCACGTCCTTTGGCTTGTTCACTTGGCTTGTTTACGTTCGCACGTATTGCGTGCCTATTGCAACTTAAAATCAAAGCAAGCCAACTCGATTACTCCAATTCGGCTACGCCCAAATAATTAGGAGATCAGAACTGTCAGCGTTGTATTCGTTTGAAGTGCGGTTCTTTTGCTAATTGATTATTTCTTGTTACGGTAATAAATAACTGGGTCAGTTATTTTCAAATTGTGATCGTCTTAAAACTATTTTTGGTGTAAACATTATTTTTTTGTACTTCTTAAAACGTCCGATCCGACTACTCGCCTTCGAGTTGTCTTCTTGCTGTTCTAACCATGTTTTTAGCTATTATTTCGCCTAGTTCTTACTCTTGAAACGAGTGAAATGTCCGCCATTTTTGCTTCCACAACCAAAACAACTTAACCTCGTCCCCAGGATTTCTTGGTTAACGGTGCATTAACCTGCAAAAACGCTGCATTTTTGACGTCATTTCCTCGCTAAACCCAAAATTCTTCCAAATTTGGTCATCATTAACTGGTTATGGTAAATTCTGCGTGTGCTTTTAGCCAATCAGAATCGGGAAAATATTTTAAATGAATAATAAACATTCTCATTGAACGCATTTCCATCCCCAATGCGCTTTTCATGGATACGAAAAGAAGGAAAAAAATAAAAATCTCTAGCCTAACTTTAACATACTCTTAGTGTTCCTTGTAAAAATATCATTATACATATTGCACACTACTAGAAAAATGTTAAGAATAAAAATCAAAGGAAATATTTCTTGAAAAAAAAAGGTTTTATGTTTTGTTGTTGTTGTTGTTGTTGTTTTTTTGTTGTTGTTTTTTGTTTTGTTTTGCAGCAGTACTTTCTGCATTTATGATATATTCTGGGATAGTGTTCCATAACTGAGGTGCTGCGGTGGAAAACACGCGTGCTCCATATGGTTTGGATTTTATTGCCGGGGTACATAATAGCGAACGGGATGATGATCGTAGTGCTCTTGATGGATGATATTCCTAAATCAGAGGTTCCAATTATCCGGCAGATTGTCCATTCTTTTAATAGCCGAGCCTGTAAATCACAAGGGAGTTCACCAACCAGAACCGTAGCTAGCGGGGGGAAGGGGAGCAGCTACCCCCTCCCCCCTGGACCTGTTGAGCTAGACACATCAAGTCTGTGGATGGATTGGTTTTCTTTAGACTCAGTTATTTTGATTATAGTGACTTGCAATTGTTTGCCATTTTCATATTCGAGGTCGATTTTTCGGAGACATATTTCCTGACAAGTGCTAAAAAGAGCGTTTCGGAGCCCCCAAATTTGAAAATTTTCTGGAGGAGGATGCCACTAGACCCCCTTACAAGGTTCGTGCCTTCGGCACTCACGATAATACCTCTCCGTTACAAAAAATCTAGCTACGGCCCTGCCAACATTTTCAATTCATCGAAGGGAATATACTTTCTAATACGACCACTTGATCTTATGGCCCTGGATTTCTTGCACATTTTGTTGATATGTTCAGTGAAGACAAGGTTTTATCCATGATGACACCCAAATTCTTGGCTTTTGTTTTCACCTCTGTTTAGGTGTTAGCTAACGTCAATGTTTCGTAAACTGTAGCCTGCTTGTTGAATCGCGATGTCAAATGTGATATTTCAGTTTTTCCAGGGTTGCACTTTAACATACTCTTAGTGTTCCTTGTAAAAATATCATTATAACATAGCTAGAAAATTCGCCTAATCAAATTCAATAGCGCGAGCGTGCTTCATATTCCTATTGAGCACGCTGATGACGTCAATAAACTATTCGTAATTCCTCCAGTTGTTGTGAGCTTAGCAATCCTGAGTCTCCTGAGTGCATCCATAACTCAGCAATAGACAATGAAGCGTTTACCATGTGTTTTATAAGGAAATTTAAGAGGAAACGTTTGAATTTGTTAACCGATAGTAAGGAAAAGAGGTGAGTGTTGTTGTTGTTGTTGTCATCTCCGCGAGCTGTGTGGGCTATGGCGTGAGATCATTCTTTGCAAAGTTGTTTTCTGTCAATAACAATTTTTCGGTAAGTTAATAGTTTTCCGGCACCTAAATATGGATTTTACAATCATTTTAGAGTACACTTTCTCTCAGTTTCAGGATAAAAACATAAGATTAACTGTGAGGAAAAAAATATAGCCAGGTAAACATTAGCCTGTGAACAGGCCTTTAGTCGAGCGGGCCCAAACAGAGAGCCTGGTCACAGGCTAGGTAAACATTGACGTGTACTGCTTTGAGCGCGCCCTACAATAATAACATTTTAAGTTAACTGCTGCATTGATCGCTTTGATAATGTTACAAAACAATTAGTTCATGCTGCAGCTGTGCGTATGTCGAGATATTGAGCACTTGGGAAGTTTGGAGAGCACTCAAGAGGCTAGAGTTGCACTCGGCTGCGCCTCGTGCAACTCTTACGCCTGTTTCGTGCTCTCCAAACTTCCCGCGTGCTCAATAGGGACCTTAAGACGACGGCGACGGCAACGGCAACGCCACAAAAGCAATAGGTTTAATTAGCAAAACAACAATTTTGCACGTGCATCACGATTTTTTGTACATTTCTTTGCCGTCACTGCACGACTACGACGTGAAAATGCCTAATTTCACGATGTACAGAGGAAGTACACAAGCGACGACGAAATTTCCTCTCTTTCTGAACTTGGATATGGTTCTTAGGAATTCAACTTTAGGATGATTCGCCTACATTTGACAAAGTTAGTGACTTGGAGTAATGGCGATGAAGATTGAAAGAACGCGAATTCACTTTTTTAGTGACGTTTTCTCTGCCGTCGCCGTCCTCGGATCTTAAGGTCCTTAATATCTCGACATAAGCACGCTGACGCATGAACTAATTGTCAATTGAAGTATGCTAGTAGAGCGCCGACTGAGTCAACTGACTAAGTCTTTAGGGTCGTAATACATCTTCGTAAGGGGTTTTGGGAGAGCTTAAATAAAGTTAAGTTAAATAACAGTGATTTCTGCAGTTTGGAACTGAAAGGTCTTACTAATGATTTTATTCCAACACAACTGGAGCCTGCAGTCGCAGAACAGCCGCTGTTTGTTTCGCCTTTTTCAGGCGAACGAAGCACGAAGCGGGCGTGAAGCGCGAGACACGTACGCTCGTCTAAAAAACCCCTTAACATAACGACGCCTGTTCTGCAGACTAAGACAACTGTGCTAAGAGCAGCAGATACAGTACAGGCCAGCTTTTCAGTCTGTTGTTAAATTGTTGTGGAAGTTCCTTCGGTCTTAAGAAGCATTTCTGCTGCTGTTGTTAAGTCATTAAGGTCAGGTGGTCGTGGAATAACAAATGGCGGATGTTCTCTTCTGGATTTAAAAAGTTCTGTTGGCGCTCTGCAAACAAATTCCATGCACTCCATCGGCCTAGGCGTATCCTCCTCAGGTCCTGCAGAAATCAAATAAGAAAACAAACTCGCAACTACGAAAATCTGTAGTAAGGTGACAAAATAGAGAAAGATAGAAAATCTACTGACAACGATTCTATCCACTAAAACAAAAATAAATATACACTGAAGGTCAGAACTAAGCGAACCAAAGTACACGCGTCTGGCCGGGCACGTATATGAACCTGAGCAGACGCACACAATGCGGTGCACACGCAGACTCATTAGTATGCTGCGTTGGCTAGAACTGTAGTTCATCGGTGAAGGGCCAACAAAATGAAACTGCCGGATCGGCACACGTTTTAAATATTTTGTATGTAACACACAACGCGAAGTACAACTGTAGCTTCCCGTTGAAACAATTCTGATATTCCTAAACGTGACAAGTTTAAATGACTTCGCTCTTCTGGCTTCTCACATAATGGAATTTTCTGCGAATTGAGATGTACACGAGTCTCAAGTGGGGCTAAATTCAGCTGAAATGAAATACGCAATAGGCCTATTCGTGTTAAAACAAAGACATTCATCTTACAAGTGTATGTAGCGTTCTTCATTTTACATAGTTAAACCAAGGAAGCATTGACCGTCTCAGTGCATATCGAAAAGTGTTGAAAACTCTTAAGGTCTTCAATACGCCTTACTTTAGATAACGCACGGTATAATCGTCATAATAAACTGACTGCAAAAAAAAGGTTCAAAAATCCGTATGGTTTCACTTTAATAACAGAAGAAAAAAAACCTTGGAACTGCAGAGAGTTTGTGTAATTGGCGTGCGTGGGTGGGTGGTGGGTCGTTTGCAGTGGATCGTGCTTTGTGGGGCAAGCGTTGCAGATCGAACCTCGTAGGTTCTAGGTCCTGCACGTGTAAGTTGGGTAAGAGCAAAAGTTGAGGAGGGGTGGGGAAGACCCTTGGTCCTTCGTTTGTTAAGGTAGCAATCCTTGGGAGGGGGTGGTTTTCAGAAAAGTGTGGTGTATCAAAACTTATACTACATTCAGATTATTTCCTACGTTCCCGGAAAGTAGTTACATCTTCATCTTAATAATGAAATTATTCGTCTGTTCTCTAGTGGTCAAAATAAGGGACGCAAAAGAATTGTAGAGCTCTAGCGAGATCTGAGAACAGTGCAAGAACATCAACAGCGAGGAATTGCTTTAGGGATTTTTTCTGCTATTAAAAGGAAACGGAATTTGCTTTAGAGCGATTTTCGTATGACCTTGAAAAATGGTTTCGGTAAGTGTTCGTTATTTGTTTTATCAGCCAATGGATGAAAAGATCAAAACATGGACTCTTCAGTTTCGGTTCGGTTTCCCACCAAAGAAAACCCTAACATGGAGAAAGCATTGTTTGATTGGCCAATCGTGTTGCAGTATGACGTCAAAGCGAAGTATCGATTGATTTCTAGAAAGTTCTGGGGCACAAAGTTTTTTCACCCGAGCGTTCGCTTAACCAAGCAAAAGCCACGCGCGTTTGTGTCCGTTCTATAAACCAATCAAATCGCTGTATTTTCGTTCGTTTGTTGTTTCTATTTTGTTCGCGCGTTTTCATTTCAAGGTCTTACGAAAATCGCTCTAATTACAATATGGCTTAACTTTTATATTGAATGCCAATCCTGTGTCATAAAAATTTGACCCCCCTCACATTTCGTCAAATTGAACACCTAAAGTTAAACCTGCTTTAAAAAGTTACCCCCTCCCCTCAAAAATCACTGCCACCCACCCCCACAACCCTGGAAAGTAAAAAAAGATTTTTTTTACACGTTAAGTTTGGTTAATGCTTGATGTGTCACTTGTCTGATATCTAGTCCATTTCTTATACCCAGTCCGTGGTCTCCAGTCTGTGTTTTATACACAGTTCACAGTCCGTGTTTTATACCCAGTTCACAGTCTGTGTTTTATACCCAGTTCACAGTCCGTGTTTTAAAGTGACCGATTTTCCGTGTGCAGTAAGCATCATTTTTAACCAATAGTAACTACTTAGATAATCTGTACGAGATGCATCAAAACATTCCAAAAGTAATAATAAAAAAATCTCTACGTTATTAATATAACCCTTACGTTTCACAGATACTAAACTATTTTGATATTCAGATTGGTCTCACTTTAGAGATGGGATGCTCTCACTTTATTCTTGGTAAATAAAAGCGTGCACCAAAAAATACCGTCCTGTTTGATGATCTTTTAGAACACGCAAGATGCAAGACTCACGCCCGACGCACGAACCACGACGCACCACTTATTTTTTTTTTAATTTTTTAAATTGCTTGTTTACCCACGAAGCACATAGAAGTTCATATGAACTCGTTTAAATGTGCGTTCCAGATCGCATTGGAATTTGGAAGTGTTGGTTTTTTTTAAGGAGAGGGGAAAACCGGAGTACGCGGAGAAAAACCTCTCGGAGCAAGGGAGAGAACCAACAACAAACTTAACCCACATATGGCGTCGACGCCGGGATTTGAACCCGGGCCAAATTGGTGGGAGGCGAGCCCTCTCACCACTGCGCCACCTTTGCTCCCCAAACTCACGACTCACGATCCACTCAAACAGGCGATTTGGCCACCCTCAATTAAAGCAATGTGTAGTACTAATTACCTGGTAAAAAGAGTGCTGGATCGAAGTATGATGGTTTAGGTAGCAGGGGAATAAGCCAGGTGATGACTGCTGTTTTACGCGCATACTGATCTTGAAGGAATCCTCTTAACTGAGCATAGTATAAATCGCCTTCTACATCTTCAATGGATACTATGTCCCCGACTTGGTACAAAATACCCTGTTTACAAACACCAGAGGGAAACATTACTATGTTGGAGCGGTTGACACAACATGAGAGCTGTAGTAGAACAATAGTTGTAATCTGACCCCAAAGATCCTAACAGCTATAATGTTAATTTCAAACTGAATGATGTCTTACTCTATTAACTTAGGAACAGGCTCTTTTTTGCTTCAAGTTTTAATCGGTATACAAAATTCTCGCAAACTTTAGCTGAGCCGCACAAAAGAAAATTGGGCCTGACCTCAGGATATACTCTATTGCTTGTAGTTCTGCTGACTTGTTTATCACTAAGTCGTTTCTTAGGTGCCAGTAACTACTGACTCCAATTTCGTGGTAGTGTATTATTAGTAACAGTCTGTGTTATTTATGTATGTAATGTATTCATCAGACTCCAAGTCAGCGCTGTGCTCCTCTGTAACTCCGTTCAATGTGTTGATGCTTTTGCCAGTCTCAGCAACTATAACTTTTTGAGTTGAAAGCTCTACCAGTTACTGTTAGTCATGAGGTCCTGCATATACAGCTGTAATGACGGCAATGACGGACAAAGTGAATAAAAGTGCTATTAGTCCAATGAAAATCAGGGCTATATATAACAAAATTTCATAAGTAGGTTGAGTATGATCATCCAGGGTGAACGTAGTCCTGAATAGGACTGTTGTTGTTGAGAGTGCCTGACGTTTCGACAACCTGTGCAGTAGTCCTCTTCAGAGTCAAAGTGAGTTGTATCATGTCAGCTGATAATATTAAACTTTGGTTATTGACGTGATTGGTCAGTATAGTTGCGATGTTATTGGTCGAATGTCAGTTAAGCAGTGATATTATTGGTTATGAAGACTCGTAATGTCATTGGTGCATTTCGATCCGTGTATTGTCACAGTTGAACATTTGTTTATTGTTAGTCAAATTGTCAGTTGTCAGTTATCCTCCCGTTGTTAGTTTTGCTTGATTCTGTCAATACGTCGTCTTTACGGTGCTGGTAACTGTTGACTACAATTCAGTGGTGTTTGTTGTAAGTTAGTAAACCAGCTTTCTATAGTGAGTCATTGATAGTAGTCTGTAGAGCACGTAATACATGTCACAAAGTCTCAGTCATGTTTCGTCCCAGATGTTTCGTCTGTAAATGATGATCAGCAATGTGATTGTTGACATCACCATTTCTCGTTGCTCATTTGTGTTCGGACTGTTGCATGCTAAGGTTTCTGCCGGAAGAAGCCTGGCAGCTGCAGCATTTGACCTTGTATACTGCTCCCTGTCTGTCCTCCAGTTTGTCTTTTTCCTAAACTTTAGTAAGCAGTTGTCGTAAAGTGGTTATCGGTTTGTGAGCAACATGTATATTGTAAGGTTGTAGTATATGTGCAATAGTTTCAGAGGTGCCTCTCGCGTGATACAACTCACTTTGACTCTGAAGATGACTACCGCACATGTTGTCGAGACGTCAGTCACTGTCAACAACAACAGTCCTATTCAGGACTAGGTTCACCCGGACGATCAAACTCAACCTCCTTAAGAAATGACTCCTGGGTTCAAACATTTCACATATAACAAAATTATTATTATAATTATTATCGTTATTATTTTTATCATTATCATAATTATTATTAATATTATAATAATTATAATATTATTATTATCATCAAATTAAAAATTAACATGTTTATCTAGCTCAAGAATTTTAACAGTAAAGTCTTAGCCTAGACAAACTAGAGCCTTGCAAAGTCTATGCAACAACTTTTCTTATACAGTACAGTTTGTATCTATCACGTTTCAGCTTGCTTTTGTTCTACTCATTTTAATAATGTTTACACATAGAAGCCATTAGGTATCTAAAAAACTTTATTTTAATGAATGTATTAAGATAACTAGTCAAACCTGGAAATAAATCCTGTCTGCTGCTACTACAGTTGCAAATCCCTCTGGTGATTTATATGGCTACATAGAAAGAAAGCATAATATTATTAGAGTGACAGTACTTTATTGTTGCCCATAATGACAGCCAAAATTGAATGGTTCTTAAGTCAGGAGTTGACATTCAACTGATTGAGTAAAAATAAACATCATCAACACAAAGATCAAAATAATGATCAAATGTGAATCCTGCTCTCCGACTAGCAAGGAACTGATGTTTCACTGCACAGAGTACATGAATCTTTCAAGACCAACCCTCCAAGTTGCAACCATTTTGGTCGCCATGGCACCTAAAATTTTGAAACTGCGACTTGATTTGCAAAAAATTCTCCCTAAACCTAAAGAGTTGGTTGCCAAATGGTCACCAAGCAAAAACTTTAACTTGGAGGGTTGAAGACTGAAGATTTTTTCAACATTCCATCCCGATATTACTTAACATTAAAATTGAAGTGAAGAAAAAAATTATGGTAAGAAAACAGTAGGGACCTTAACATGAGAGGACGGTGACAGCAGTGAAAACGTCCCTTAAAAAGTGAATTCATGACATGAATGACTTTGTAAATGCCAAAAGCCAATGCTGGAAAGAAACTCTACTCACAGGGTACACTAGTGGGAACCCAAAAAGATAAGCCAACAGCATTTGATTTCATATTCAGTCTGTCTGCACTATAGCTGAACCAAAAACTGAAAATCACACTGCAAAGCAAAGTGATCAACTACACGTATATTACACTGTCAAGGCCAGATCATGTTGCAGTGCTGCATTTGAATATGCTAGTGATATTTATTGTGAGAACCTACACAAATCCTTTGGCGTGTCTAATTGGTGTCTGTATTTGTCTGTACTAATAAGTGAATAAAATGGTCATAAAACTAAGCAGCAACAGAGTGCCTGATAAAAACGTAATGTACACATTGATGTAGGCCAGTCTGCAGAGTGTGGCAGGACTTGACAAGATCTTGTGCATGCTGAGCCAACTTTAGCTGCGTGCACCTCATGCAATACAATCGACGAGAATACACATGCATGTTATCTCCCACCTCCTGTTAAAAAGGTTAAACTATCCTAATCAAAGAAATATTGTAAAAATGTAAAAGTGGGTTGGTTTTCAACCGTTGGATTGACAAGCTCTTCTTAAAAACGTCAATGTTCGTTGTGTAAATAAAAAATATCCTTCAAAATGCCTAGGTCATTTTACTATCTGTTACAAGACATGTTACGGCAAAAACGCTGAAAATAGCATTTCAGAGCTAAGCCTTCAAGGTTTGCGCCTTAATTTGGTGCTCAAACTCCCTTGTGTTAGTATCTTAATAAACAACATCTGGGTATGCCCCATGTCTTCTCAATCATTTCAAGGGCATAAGAAACTGTGCACATGTGGTAGTAATAAAATATAAGACAGATGTGAAATAGGTCGTGGGAGGAGGACTTCTATTGATGACCGCAACAAGCACATTTGCCTTTTTTCTGATAATTATTGGTTTCCTCGGAGAAGCCACTTGATTGGTGGACTAAAATGCTGGTGCTTAGAGTAAGCAAAGTACAAAAAATTAGAGAATAAAGCCAAAGGGGCAAAACCTATGTAAACAGTGCTATGTGGCAGAGCCTTCAGTGCATTTTTTTCAGGATACCAGCGTGAGTGTCTCAGAGGTTTCATTTCAGTTAAACATGTTTAAAAGTTAAGAGGGAACTGACTGTGACTAGTCACGAATAATGAGTCAAGACTACTTTATTTTGGAGCCTCCGCATGGATGCAGTATTTTGAATTATTCACTAATTTTTATTCTGCAAGGATGTACTGTAAGTCAAGTAAAGAGTTTTGACACAATTCAAGAGCAAACCTGATTTTCAAAAACTACTAACTATCAAATAAAATAACTAAAAATATGTAAACAGTATTTAAGAAGGATACAAGTTTTAATGCACTTTCAGCTATTTCAGACAGACCTTAAATCTTTCTGCAGGAGCATGCCCCTGGACCCCCTAGTTTAATATGGTCATGTTTCAGCATTTGGCTTAGTAAACCAAAAGGCTGCGAAATGGATTACAACCCAATTTCCAGTCCAAACAATGTGTTGAACTTTTAAGTTAGGCTGGATTTTGCAGTGTATGATGGCTACTTCCCAACAAGTCATGACAAAAAAAAAAGAAATGGACTTGTTTTACAAAAGTGGCACATTTTATTGATAAACCTTCCTGCATCAATCTTTGCAAACAGTGACAATTTATCTTCAAATTCTTTGCAAAGCTTCCCAAACTGTCTCCCAACTCTTCTCTGGAACAGGTTCCTCTTTTCTTTGTAATCATATGCACAGACTCCCATTGCATGTGCTTGAAATTTTCAATATAACTGGAGCCAGACATTTGTCTCTCGGTGTTATAAATCATGGTTTCATTCCCTGAGCTCAGTTTAAGCCATGGGTTTGAAATCTATAAAGCTATGCATTTTGAGGATCACTTGACTTTTCAAAATGGACAGATGACAGTTTGGATTAGCTGAGTCTTTTTATTCGTCAAATTTATTGAACATATCAGACTGCTGGTCATTTAGTTTTCTGACCAGCAACCAGCCACAACGTTTTAAATAAAGCTGTGGCTATATGCCTGACATTTGGGAAGGGTTTCAAAAAACTACATTGTAAATACCCACCAGTCAGAAAATTTTGTAGAATTTCTACGAAATCACTTTCCCTAACGTCTTGAAAGTATTCTATCCTCAGTTAACTAAATTTTCTGACTGCCAGGTATTTACCTTTTTTGAGACCCTTTCCGACTGTCTGGCATATAGCAACGAACGCAGCTGCCTTCAGCTTACCTTTCTTTTTATCTTTTGCAATGTTCGACGACCTCTGGACCTTTCACCTGTTTTTCCATTGTAGCCTTTCCTTGTTCCTGCCTTAATTCTTGCAATGAGCTTCTTGCTTTCCTTAGAGCTTTGTCTTTGCGCACGTACACTCGAATTAACTCGCTTCAGGTGGCAGCTGTTACACAGAACTTCCCCATTAGAACCTTTCCTCCACATCAAAGAGTTTGCTATTTTGCACGCTGAGCATTGCGGATTGTGATCCAAAGACATTTCAAATTGTGATGCGTCTGTTTATAAATTATTTTAGCGCAGAATAAAGCCTTAAAAACAGTTCATTGCTCCTCAAAAAGACAAGTTTGTCATCTTTATCGAAACCGAACGTCCGCTTGACCGCCATTTTGAATCTTCTACGCATGCGTTAAGAAGTACCATCCGCTGAGTTATTATGCGTTACTTGGTACCCTGATACTTGCCTTCTCCTTCCGACGATTCCCCCTGTGCGTTCCGGCGTTGATTAGCCGGCCTCTGAAATTAGTAGCTCGTCGTCTATCGCTATGATAAAGCTGGTAGGGGGACTCCAACGATTTGCGACAAGGGTCCGAGCTACAACGAGCACATTGAACGATTAGACTGGCTACTTACAATAGTAGAGTGTACCGTTGACTCTACCGAACAGAAGTCACGCATTTAATTTTCTTTCAGTTCTACTTAGATAACAAAATAAGATCCTTTCCATTTACTAAGGAAATAAACTGAGATTAAATTCAGTAAGAACAGAGATACTGTTATTAAAGAGAACATTTTAAAATAGGATTCCTTATTTATGGAATACTTACCTGAGACACTTAAAATCGTTGCAGAGAGCATTCCAAGATTGGGAACTCAAATCCTGATTGCTCACCGATGTTGCTTAGGCGATAGCATTAGAATAATTTTTGTTTTTGTTTTGTTTGCTTTTTCTTTTAAATTATGGTTAACAGTTTAAATGATTAAATGAGTTTTCTGGCGATTCAATTGCCAGAAAACGTAACTCATTTAACTGAATGAAAAGAGCGACAACGCTGAGTTTTTTTCCGCTCTTTTCATACTGTGTAAGTAATGTATGGAAATCTCGTGGTCTGTTAAGTCCTTTCACTTTCCTATATTTATAATTATTTGGAATTAATGCAGTAAAAGTAGATTAAATCGAGAAGTTTTATTGTGACACTGCTACCAGTAGCTTTAGGGCGGGAGTAGGTCATGATTTTCAGGTACAGTCAACAAACAAGTCAGCTGGTTGGATTTACTATTGCAAGTGAATACAGTGAATTATGGTACCACATTAGCGGTACTACTCATTACTCTACTGGTGTTTACCAGGCGGAAGGAAAAAACAAAATCTCTTTCCCCTCCAGCATCCAGCCCACCCCCAAATACTCATCCGTGATTTTGGGACCACGTGGATGGTCAATATTGTAAATCTATATGCTGACGCTGAGTTTCTATCATAGATGGTAAAACTGAAACGGTAAGTTCTATAAAAACAGTATGGCAAAAGCTAAAATCTCAAATAGAGTCCATCTTTGTATTTTTCTTAGAGAGGCTTTTTATAGTCGTTGACCGGCATTTGAACACATCTCATTCAGTGACTGATATTGTGACGTCATAGGGACTAAGTAAAAGTTGTGCGGAAACATATCATGTAGCCTGTCCAGCACATAAACGGTTGTCAGTTGACATCTGAAACAGACAATTACGGAATTCTTGAATGGATGTCACTCTTCATAGGGTTTCTTATTGTAATACTGATATTGGTTTGTAATAAGGCTTGATCCTTCTTGGTGATTCAGGTTTCGACGGTTCCCCATATATTTTGCTGTCTTTTCAGTGTCAACAGCCACAGTATTTTTACCAAAGCGTGTATACAATGTACATCATTTAAGGTCTTTAAGCAACATCACAGTGCTCACTAAGACTGACTGAAGTGATAAATAGGAAATAACATGGAATAAAGGATCGGCCATCCCCAAGCCGGTTTGTTTACTCAATGGTGCGTTATCAGAGTCACTTGTCTACTGTTTTTTATCCCGTTTCTGATTGATCAGTACTTATAATTTTCAAGTACAGTACGGTTGCATTGCCAGTCACGTCATAGAGATTTTTTGCCTTGTCTTTTCGGCTCATCGAGAATACTTAGAATGTTTGGATTGAGGCAGTGCAGGCTTGAGACAACGTTTATAAGAATGGAATAAGATAATATTATGTATTACTGAAATTACTCGAAAGTGGCAAATAAATGAAAGAAAACGTGTAGGGCGGACCAACTCGCCTGCGGCTAAGTGACCACTCCTTTTGTTCTTACCACATTTTAATGTCATTTGTAATCTGTAACTGGACACACAAGCTGTACATTGGAATGTATTTGCTTTAAAAAGAGATAAGATAAAGAAGCTCCGGCTATCTGTCTTCTTTTACCCACTGCCTCTGTAATTTTTCTTTCGCGTTTGGTTTCGAACAGGCACTTCTCATATGGTTCGCGGCCAAAAGCAGTAGCAACTTACTAGTCCTCAGTCAAAATCAAATCCACAGGTTTTGTCGACTGAGGCAAAAAAAGAGTGCAAGAGAAAGGATAATGACAGGTTTTAAAAGATACGCTTTACTTCAGTGTACACGAGATCGTCAGCCAATTGGTTTGACCATGCGTGTAAGTAAACAGGCGTGGTCAGGCTCAGCAACAACTGATTGATATGTGTAATCACGATTATAAATGATTACTGATATACATAATCCTTGGGCTTGCACATCTCCCTAAGGGGTTTTAGGTAGGCTTATAAACGAAGGGGCTTACATCCAAAGAGAGCTTTAGTATAACCAGAATAGAATACTAAAGCCGCTCGAAACAAACAAGCTTCAATCTATGAACGCAGCATTGCTGATCAAAATACGTTTTCATTTACTGATTCTTTGATAAAGCTTCAAACGTCATAATAAAATCAAATTAACTCCAATACTTGTATTTTGTTTACAGGTTTATGGGTCGATAACTTGGGGGACTTATAAGTGGGGGGGGGGGGAAGGGGCTATAAGCGGCAGTTTACGGTACTTAGCTGGAGGTCCATTACGTAACTCATTTGTTACGTCCTCAAGTAGTTATAAATTAAGTTGAGTCGTGGTCTGTTCCAGTCTAAGTGCCTGCAACAGGAAATTGTCTGAGGAAAACAGCTTTTATATTAAGAAGCTCAGGCAGAAAGTTTTGTTCTATATTTAATGCTAGTGCTAGTTTGCACGGCTCTCTTTCTAACCTTAACAGGGCGGAAAGCGTATTTAATATATTTCCTAACGGAAAGCAGGCGGAATCGCTCACTGAATTATCATAAGCAAAGCCGAGGAAACAGAAAATTAGGGGTTGACGGATATTTGCCAAGTTGGATAACTCGTTGGTAACTTTTCAAATAAGCTAAACATTATGTTGATGTTTCACTTCTAAGACTTTAATATCTTATTATTTAGTCTATTGCAAAGAATTTGATATCAAGGGGGGCCGGGTTTGCGGTGTTGAAAACTCTTTCTTTCAGCCCGTTCCTAACATTTTTATGTTTCCCTTTGCGGTGTCGGTGTTGGCAGTACGCCCGACAGTCAGTTAAGATCTGCTTAATTGATAGGGTTTTGATTGATTTTCTCTTTAAACTTAAAGCGATGTTTGTATTAGCAGAATCGTTGTTCCAAAACAACTTAAAGAGGTCTCCCCCCAAGTATCTAGTCAGATGCCGCTCGTGTGATTGAGCTAATTCTAAAGTATTATGGTGTAAAAATAATTTTAGGCAGAAAATTATTTTCCAAATACTGAGCCAATCAAGATTTTCGGACTGAGTGCGAGGTGGAACATTACACTTTCGCCGGAAATGATAAACTGTTAATTGAAATCATGGAAATCCTTCCACACTGCACTTCCGAATGACGACATATTTCAAACGGTCCGAGATTGATCCATATAAATCCAACTGCGTTGACTATGTTCGCCTGTAGTTAATCTGTGATAATCCATCAAGTTTAATTCAGTTAGTATGCAGTTTACCGATGCCTTAACACGCCCCTTAGCATATTCCGCCATCCTGGCCGCCGTTTAATGCCTTTATCACGATCCATATCCAGGGGAGCTCTCGTGTTTGTTTCTGAGACGTCATTAATCAACGAAAATGGTTAAAATGCTATATCCCGATTGGTCTCAAAACTGTCACGGGTGGCGCAATTTTTAAATGGATTCGTCACGTTTTGATCTTTGTGGAACAGGTGAAGTCACACGTAGGGCCCTGTTTTTAAAAACTTTTGTTTTAGTTGCATTGTTCAAAAACTTTAACCTTTCTCGCGTATTATGCTATTATCTTTCAATCACGGGGCGCGTTTACCATATCTCTCTTACTCCCTTAAAAAAAATAGTTAACAGAAACTAAATTCGTATTTAAACTGCTCTTTTTGTTAAGGCGTTGCCATCGCAACGCAGTTTCTTTAACTAGATGTTATAAGGCGTAGCACACATTAAATGCATCACTTAAGGAGCAATCTCCAAAGCAAGAATCAAGGCTTTGTTGTCATTTTGGCAACAAGACAGAGCTCTGTTGGAGGTGTATCAGTATCATTCATTTTGATCTAATCAGACGTTTTTTACCGTGTGAATTTGCAATCAGTTGTAGTGCTTGTTATCACTGCCTTAAATGATGAATACGCATATAAATAAATACACAAGTCCCTCGCAGAAAAATTGTGCCATTCGACATAAATTAATGTTTTAGTTTTGTGAGCTTGGTGGGGCATCAAATTATCTTTCTTCTTTTTCAAGCGTTCCCTGTTGTCTACTGCTTGTTTATTTCGGTCCTAAATGAAACCGGACTCTCGGCGGATGCGATGACCTTGTGATCTTAGTGCTAAAATAAGAAATAGCCCGTCTATTTCCCCACGTATGTTCGCATGTTTTCTCATAATATGTTACATCCTGCTTTTTTTCGTTTACTTATTTTGTCGCGGCATGTTTTCTGCGTAAGAAGTCTCTTTACTAACAAAATACGACTCACAAACACCTCGAGAGGGTCCTAGACTAAGTCAGAAACAACGCGAAATGCGCAGAAAGTGAGGACAGCCAGGCCGAGCAAGAAAAATGGAACGTTATTCTTTCTCGGACTTACTTGTGAGCAAAGAGCTATGCTCCGAATCCATACGCATTGCGGGGTGCACAGAGTTCGATTTGAAGTGTTTTCCGAATTGCTAGAAGCTTCAAAACGCCCACCCGCACCTTAGATTGAGGGGAGGTTACCAAGCCTAAGGATCACATGTTTGCGATTTTGTCACTACTAAGGTAT